GTTTTAGATAGTGTTGTCTACAGTATTTGGTTGGAATGTTGTTGGAACAATTAGAATCTGTTGCCAGTATTTGTTTGGGTTATTGATCGTCTTTAATTTTATTTAATTGTGTTGTCTATGTTTCTATCTGACCATGCTGTAGGTCTCTGGTTGTGTATCGTCAGCATTTGGTCCTGTTGTTGGGTATCGTCAGTGTTTGGTGTCATTTTCTATTTCATCGTGTTTTTACTACTTGGTTATCATTGGCATATGGTATGTTGCCAATATTTTTGTTCTATTTTATATAACTTTGGTGCTTGGATCTGTTGGTATTTGGTCGTGTTGTTCTGAATTTCATCATGTTATTAGTGTGTGATTGGTTGGCAGTATTTTTTTGTGTTGTTAATATTTGGTTTTGGTTTGGTTTTGTGTAGGGTTGTGTTGTTTTTGATTTTCTGGCTGTTTGGTTGTTTTGTGTGAATTTGCAGAACATTTTTCCGAATACTATTGTGGTATGTGGGTTTGATTATGATTGGTAATTGACATTTTGTTACATCGCAGTGTGTTGAGCTCTTAAGGTCACAGTATTGAAGTGTTGTATGACTCGTATCTAAAAAAACTGTTAAATGGAATTAAATGAAAATTTTGTCAACATATTTATAATTATTATGGGACAAATCATGTTGACTCTTAGGCCTGCCGTGGTCAATTGTCTAATTTCTTGCAAGGTGCTCTGTGATTCCGTCTTTACGCTCACATCAGCTTGCAACCATTTTAGCCATCACAATGCTAACGTGCTAATGTTTGTCAGGCTACATTTACCATCACCACGTTAAATCGCCTGTAAAAATGCTGAAATTTGTTTGTACAGCTGAGGCTGATGTGAATGTCATTATTTTTCATGTACTTTTTTATGTTTCTGGCTAAAATTTGACCAGATGTCACTAGAAAAGATCAGGAGGATCGGTGAGGTGACAACAATTCCTGTTGAATTGGAAAATGAATGAGTGACTGAAGTTTTTTTCGAAAATCCATCCTAAAGATGTTGATACATTCAACTTTGAACACTGTCTTAATGGATGATTTTTTTTTTTAATAGTCAGAGTAACATTAAGGGGCTCAGTGAAGTAAATTGGTTGGATTTCTGGTGACTTCAGGTATTTGTAGAAAATGTTGCACCAGTGCACCACATAGATGTTTTGAGGTTAAGGTCGTGCTAAGACAAAAAAACGGCAAGGGATCACAAAAGTAAAACTATAACAATCAAACCTTTTTGAAAAAAATCAATGAACCCCTTGGTAGAAATTTGAATTTTTCCACTGGTATCTATTGTAGAAGGTTGAAAGACATTTTAAGGGAAGTGGTGGTGCTAGATGAAAAGTGGAGAGCTCAACAAAGATGACTTAATTAAGTATGGATTTTCTTCCTTACATCGTTGCCCATGCACAGACTCTTGTATAAACAATATTAAACTTTGCATAGACGTGCTACTTTCTGTCTTTTCTATGAATAGCGTCACAATACTTTTTTTCCCTGGATGTCGTTCTTTTTATTCTTTTGAACTAGTGACCGTTGCAGCCTATGTTAAAGCTCTTACAACAGGCCATCTCTAATAGTTAACCCAGAGTAACCTCCTCTTTAGGGTGAGGTGAAGGAAAGTGTTCTTGATGTGAACAAACTTCCTGATGGGATTAGTTTAACTAAGACTTGTGCTGGTACATGTGTGTGTTTAGTATGTGTGAGCACATGGCTGTGTGAAGGGAGAACAGATTGCGTGTTTATCTGAGTGATGTCCTCCACCTCTTATCTGAAGGCTTACATTTAGGTCAAAGGTTGTGCCTCATTTTCTGTCAGAGAGGTGAGGTTTTGTTGACCCACATTCCCATTGGTTGTTCCTTTTCCTCTGATAAAGCCGAACCACTCATTCCTATACACATGGGATGGACAAAATATCAAGACAAGCTTTACAAGAAATGAAATCAGATACTCTCCTTGCAAAATACTTAAAATAATTATAAGTGTGCAGGTGTTTTAATCACTACATCAGATAATATTTGTTTATATTACAATTTAAGAGGTTATGTCTCCTCTAATTTCAGAGGTTTGAAAGATTATATTGTGTTTTCATTAAGGAACTTTTGTTGTGATTCTCGGTTTCATAGACCAAGTCGGAGTTGACGTCCGGATTACGTCAAAGCAGTTGTGTTCTGTTGAAGCAAGTGGAGAGAAACATGAAGAAGCAGTACTTACAGGGATACTTCACATTTCTCTAACATACATCAAACAATTAACTAAATCATACAAAATATGTGTGTATGTAGTTGTTGACCTGTTTATGATAGCCCACTGGTTCTACAGTACACTGATCTGACAAGCCTCAAATGTTCAATGTTCTGAACATGACTGCGAAGTACAAAATTGTATGCATCAAGAGTGTGTGTGCGTGCGTGCGTGCGTGCGTGCGTGCGTGCGTGCGTGTGTGTCTTGAGTTTTTCTGATATTTAGACTCTGGATTTTTACACAAGGTAGGCCTACACGACGCTGTCCAGCCACTGTTACCTTGGACCTTTAGTTGGATACACTGAGTGTGTGAGTACGTCTCAGGAAACTTCTCCCTGTTACTTAGGTTTAGCTTGTAACTGTTAGACGACTTTTCGCCTTCTGCCAAACAAAGATCATCGTAGCCCATTCAGATGGTCCGTCATTTCTGATATGAGGTAACTTTCTGTCACCACTAAGGCTCCACACACAACACTCACCATCACTCTGTACAAACAAAAAAGTGCTCTTTATACAAGTAGCTTTTTAATAGTGTTTAACTAAATCTTAGGATGTTTGCTCATTTGTGATTAAGTGAACAATGTTTGGGATTTCATTTATATGATAGCATGTGAGTCAACTTGGGGAAGGGTCATCAACATACTGAAGGTAATTGGTTAATATTGTAATTCAAAAAAGTAATTACTTACTCTTTTAAATAATCATTTTTGATAGATTGAAGTGTTTGAAAGCTTAGAAAAAAGCTTGCAGGTCGAGCTAGTTTTGAAAATCAGTCGAAAAAATGTTCAGTACTTTGGTCAAACAATTGAAATAATTGTAATTGTAGTAATTATACTGACGCTGTAGAACTTGAAATCAGTCTTGGTCTCAAGACCGGTCTCGAGACCACCTTTTGAAGGTCTCGACCTCGACTTGGAATCGAAAGCATTTTTACTCAGTCTTGTCTCGGTCTCAGACTGGACGGACTCTGGATTTTAAATCAGGACCAGACAAGACCACCATCGAAAGGCTATTTTTCCACGATCACATTTCTGTGATTAGAAGGAAAACTTAATTTGTAATTTGTAACCCTTTTTTAATAACAGAAGAAAATACAGGATACTGAAGGGCTAAGAATTCCCCCTCCCCACACCCCTGACCATAGTTATTCACAAAAAAACTCAATTCAAACTGAAACATGTCCCTTAATTGGCTTATTTTCAGTTCATTCAGTTCAATGTTCAGGTCATTTCTCTTCACACTTTCAGGAATCAAATGTCTGATATTCTTTGCTCAGAAACCTAAATCTGGAACTTATATGAAGCTGACATGAGTGGAGTGGATGCCATTAAAGAGGAGGAAGTGAGCATTGATCGGTTTCACTGCGTTGTGCTGTGTCGGCAACTCCATTTGCCTTTCTCTCTCACTGGGCAGTGTAGAGTAATTGCTTGCTCAAGGACTTTTGAGGCCTGATTGCCGTAACCCACTGACGCTCCATTTGTGTTTGTCCTAGTTAAACCCAGCCCTCTGTGATAAAGCAATGCACACTAGATGTCGTTGACAACATAATATAAATGGGAGGACTCTCCCAGCACACCTTGAAAATTAGATTTTAGCATTAACATATTTAGTGTTTACATTATTAATACCTCTCTTTGTGGATTTTAGCCTGCAAGCCTATTAGGTGAAACCTGGTATATTTCTTAAAAGCATCAATTCTGCATGTAATGTTCACTCTGAGACTCTGTGCACATCAGTGTGTTGTCATAGCGCTGTCAGGAAGCAGCGAGCTGCAGTGCAATAAAACACTGTCTGTGATCAGCCCTCAATCCTTTCAGTCTGAAAGCCTCGCCAGCACCGAAGTGGCCAACATTAGCTGTAACCGCATCTGAGCCCTGACTCACTGATCTACCTGTGCTCTCTACAAATACACACACATTTGCTCCTGCACCTGCACAGCATGCACTCTGACACACGTGCAAACTCGTGCACACTCAAGCTCACTGACGTCCTCCACTATTTACACCCAGGTGTATCTGCATGCAAACGGCCCATTTTCGAGACAATCTGATCACACAGCGGAGGTTTCACCCGGTCTGTTCCTTTGCTCGGTGAGAATATCGCCGGGGCGGAATGGAAACTTCATTTTGCAGGGGCTAATATTAGCCTGGGCCTCTGGAAAATTCCTTTTAAATGATCACAAGCTGAGAAAAGGCAAAGAATTTGTTTAGCATTTTGCTTGACAGTATTCTCTGCATACACAGCGGTTAGTTTCTTTTTTATTTATTTTTTTCAGACTGTAAAGCACACAGGAGGGTCCTGGGAACACAGATGTGGAGGAAGGAAGGGCTAAGGGGACTTAAGTGATAAATGTCTGACTGTCTGTCTCTCTGGTCGTTCAAATTTTTTGCTGGCAATGTTAGAATTTGATCACTGACTCTGATATCAGTTACTCCTCTAGTTCACCTTGTGTCACCTGCTCTGTGTGGGTTTCTGATTGTCTAATATCTGTGATACACACTGCAGCCTCAGAGTTATCACAGTCTAAACACCTTCTGATTATCATGTATATCCAATGTGTATTTAAGCATTTACCTGTGTAACATGTTAAATGGATCTAAAATAGAAATAGCCATGTGTTTCCCTGCCTGTTTGTACCCTTCACCACCTGACCCATATGTAACTCTTTCATTTCATCATTATACGACCCTAACTTTATAACCTGTGTTTGTATATCTGTGTGTGCATGTATGTTTCGCTAGGAAAATCCCACCTGGCCATAGTTCAGAGGGTGAACAATGAGGGCGAGGGGGACCCTTTCTACGAGGTGCTGGGTATTGTCACCTTGGAGGACGTCATTGAAGAAATCATAAAGTCAGAGATCCTGGACGAGACTGACTTGTACAGTAGGTTCTCTCTTTCTATGCTTACACCTCTCTCTAAAACCTCAAAGCACGTCCTGTCTGTCAGGAGCACCAGTCTGAAATCCATTATCTCCTCTAAACTTATCAGAGCCAGGTGGTTGAGGTCTAATTTGGTTCCACTCGGACTCATTTAAACTAACTAAGAGTTCCTCTTAGTCAAGCAACATATCAATCATTTTTGAGACACATTTCTGTTATCTTGTGACTTTAATGTAAGTTTTAATGCTGAAATCAAGAAAAATCAAACGCTCGACACTGGGTACAGTATATTGTGGTATGAATAGCAGAAAAGTCCTTTTGGAACTTAAAAATTTGATCAGTTTCTTATTCTGAATCTAAAGTTGCATCAACTGAATGAAAGGTCCACACTACACTGTATACACATACTGTAGGGACAAGAGTTGGGAATTAGTAATATCTATACACTCTGAAAAAAAAAATGTTTTTATAACTTCCAAATTCCTTCTTGATGAATGTGTCATACAGGATTATTCTGTACTATTACAGCTCTATCAGTTTGGGAGTGCAGACATGGATTACGTGCCAGTCTATTTGTTGCCCTAATGCATATGGCTTTAAGTAATGCTAAGAATGTGGTAAGCTAACATTGTAGCCCCCTATAGCTCTCTTTTAGTTCTGAGAAGAACGCCACAGCTACATTTCCAGAAAAAGAAATAAGCTTTGGGTAACTCAAGTTTAGTCACCCTGTGACCCAGGAGGACGGGCTCAGTGTCTGTGGCGTGGCGTGGATCGACCTTTTCCTGTTGCAGAAAAAAGTTTGTTTTAGTTTGCGTCTTGAGCTTGACTTTTTCATTTTCCCTTCTCAGCTGACAACAAGACGAAGAAGAAAATCACCCATCGGGAAAGGAAACAGGATTTCTCGGCCTTCAAGCCAACCGACAATGAAATGAAGGTTAAAATATCACCTCAGCTTCTGCTGGCTACCCTGCGTTTCCTAGCAACAGGCAAGTGGGCTGTGTTGCTGCTTGACTTCCCCCAGTGTGCCCTCGGCCCCTCACTGCGGGAAGAGAGAGTGCGTGTGTGTGTTTGTGTGTGTGTGTCTGGGCTGTTTGTGTGTGCATGTGCCCATGTCGGCTTTGAGTTTTTGGGCAAGTGGGTGTAGGGAGGAGTGAGTATGTGTGTAGAATGAGTATCTGCTGTTTGTGGGGTGTGAGGGAATGAGTTGTGTGTGGACTCACAACAAGTGTTTGTGTGTGTATGTGAAGAGGTGGAAGGCCTCTCAGGAGTACAGCACGGGATGTCTGTGGAGACCATTAAAAAAAAGGCGGCGTCTATCTGCCTGTGCGTCGTTCTCTGAGAGCTCACAGCTTTGAAAACAGCACCCTGTTTGCTTACACTCGTTCCTCAGTGACATCACTTCCAGCATTTTTGGCCTATGATCAGAGTTCTCACACAAGTCAACATACTTAGTGTAAAATGTGAAATATTTCACCCACTTTCCCCTGGGAAATGGATTTCTGAGCAGGCTGCAGAATATCCAAGCAGCACTACTACATCATCATCATCAGCAGCAGCAGCAGAGGTTGACTACGCCTCATTGCAGTTGGATTTGCTTTGGAACTTTGACCTAGCAGCTAAGTGTTGATTAAGTTCCTCTAAAGGCTATTAGGGAGTTTAGTTCCTGGTGGTGGAGCCAGCTGACACATATCACCGCCATTGAGTCGAAGACGCTGATTGGCCCAGTCACAATGTGGATACCTGTGTTTAAAAGTTGTGCATAAGTTTTGTTGAAGGTGCACCATGTAGTTTTGGTAGAGAAATTTGAAAGTTGGAGAAATGTACAGATTCTGTGGTAAATGTTCATACCTCCATACACAAACTGTCCTCAGAGGAAAATGTGGTCCCTGGAACATTGTTGAAGATAACAAACAGTGTTCCAGGGATCGATTTTTCCTTGGAGTAAAGTTTGTGTATTTAGTTCAGAAAAAATAGGATAGAATTGTTTCAATTCTCCAACTTTCACACACAAGCCTTCAGTTATTTAAAGCAGCTAGTTAGCCTGTCCATGCGGTTTGATAAAGAGGCAGGAGAACGCGTTGACGGATCCAGCTAACAAGAGAAGACGAGAGAGTGACAGAGAAAGAAGCAGAGTGTACATCTCTGCAGATATTATTCACAGCAGGAAGTAAAGTCAGGCTGTATGGTTGTCAGTGTCATTGTTGTCTCATGTTTAGCCCCTTTAACGAGCAGAAAGTTATTGCCAAAGTTATGTCTCAGGTTTACACACACATGTATTCATTTTTGTGCCATTCACCTTACATTGAAAGCTCTAAAGTTAGTTTTACAATTTTGGAACCTTACAGACCTCTCTTAACAAGCATAATAAATGACCCTCGTCAATGAAGCAATTTAGCCACAGCCAATAGGTATGGCAGTAGGATACACATACACATACACTCCACATGCAAACAGTTTGCAAACAAGGAGCTAAAGAGGCTTGAGTTATATTAGCACAAAATCTGCAATTAAATATGACTGTACCTTGTCAGTTGTCTACATGTGTCTTACTACAGTGCAGCTGCACTCAGAGACCTTCGATTGATGCCAAAGCGCACCAAACCAAATTCCTACATATTGTTGCTTTCATAGCCAATATATACAAATATTCCTTATCTGCAAAAGAACAAATGTAGAGGTGAGTGTAGCGTTCACAGATAGTATGCAGTGTAGCAGCAGCCTTCAGCAACCACAGACACCAGCAGAAGGTAGTCTGGGATACAGTTGCAAAGCACTTATTAAAAAGAAGAATGAATAACATCAAGTGAGATGCCATAGGAGTGAGGTCAGCAAAGGACATGACAGTAAAACAGAGAACCAGTATATAAATGACCTTTTCTCTGTCATGCGTTAGAGGGGCTGTTTACCAGGAGAGCAACAAATACTTAACTGTATCCCATTATTTGCTAAGGTAAAACGTGCTAAGTGATACAAAAGAAATATATACTCAACACATTTTTCATTGTTTTATTCAGTTTCTTATTTCCTTGTAGTTGACGTCTGTAACGTGATAAAAACCTGTATCAGTTCTTATTAAACCTATCGCTCTTTAGGAAATAGTAATGACTCGTCTGTTGATTCTTAAGACTGAGAAAATTGGTGAATGCCAAATATTCTCATGAATCACTTGGACATGAATCTCTCAGTCAGTGCCTCTTGAATGCTACTTTGTTGTTTGAGATGTAACTTCTATGAAATGCCTGACATGTGTCAGATATGTTTTGCCTAAAAAATATCAATACTTATATTTCATAATAAAAAGAAAGAAGACTGTCTATCAGTGATTTTTTTTAGATTCTCAAAATGTTTATATTTGTGTCAACTCTATAAGCAAAGTTTTGTCCATGCTATAAATTAATGTAACTTACTGTATTTATTTACAGTCTGCCTGTCCTCCTCTCTCTGCTTCTTCAGAGGTCGAGCCGTTTGCCCCGGTACAAATGTCAGAAAAGATTTTGCTGCGTTTGTTGAAGCATCCCAACGTCATCCAGGAGCTGAAGTACGACGAGAAGAACAAGCGGGCGGCCGAGCACTACCTCTTCCACAGGAACAAGCCTGTGGATTATTTCATCCTCATACTCCAGGTGGGTAGAAACAAAACATTCAAAGTGAAGGGGATATCATTCCCAACAATATGCCCTAGTCTTACCGTACTATAATATGCTCTATATCACAATAAACACATTTAAGATGAAGAAGTGCTGCTGTTTTTTTCAAAAATAATTTGTTTCTCGTATGTCAGGCAAACTCTCACAGTATTCCCCATTATCACACTGCAGACATTCACAGTTATCATCAGGCTCAGGGTGTTATTAAAAGGATAATATTGTATCGCTGTGTTCCAGGTGGCAACTCCTAAAAACCATTAGTCACTCAATCACTATTTTCATTAAAGCACAAAATCACAACACAAGTTATGTCATGAAACTAAACATATTGACCAGGTCTAGACTGCATGAGACCAAAAATTATCCTACATTTATCCTTGATGAGCAAGCTCATGAAAACAGTTTCAAGGACAGCTTCTATTAAACGGGCTCATTTGTTAACAGCCTTCCTCTGCAGCTGGCTGAGCAGAAGAATAGAGTGTGACAAACAGACAGAGAGAGAGAGAGAGAGAGAGAGAGAGAGAGAGAGAGAGACATGCACACACAGCCACAGAATATAAACAGATAATGAAGACCTAAAGTAGCAACTCCAATACAAAGTAGAAAATGACTCATATTAGCCATTGTATCTCTAATAATGATTATGTAAATCAACTCAGTCAAGTCAAGCATGTCCACAGCAGCAGACGTTCTGCAAAAACCAATGATAGGAACCTGCGGGACAAGGGAGTGCAAAATATTTGGGGAAGATACAAAGTTAGTTACATGGACATATGAGACACATGGAGCGTTTATCAGATAGAGACCGAGAGAGGATAAGACAGGGGCCGTATCCGAATTGCCACATACTCAATCTTTCAGTAGGCAGTAGGCAGTATGCAGTACGTACTATCCGTGCTGCATACTGCTAGTACCTACTATTCAGTATGCACACACAGTAGGCAGATATTTGTGCCTACTTCGTCTGATTCATTCAGTATGGAAGTGACGTCATTTACGTTTCCCGAACCGGCCGCATCCATCCGTTTTTTTTTTTGTTTTTTTTTGTTTAGCTTTATTCAAGAAGAGTAATGCGCATATACAGTCAGGTAAACAAAAAACAATATCACAATGTAAATCAAGTAAAAGGCAGATTAAATAACTAAATAACATACAGTACATAAAGAAGTAAACTTAAACCAAAGCAGCGAACCAAAATGTGCTAATTTTGCAATGACAGAAGGAAACCTCCCGAAGGGGGCCCCTTCTGACAGCACCCACTTGTGTTTCTCTGCTGAGACTTGCATGCATTATTGCTGTGAAAACCCAAGTTTGTCAATGAAAATCAACAAAGACACATGAAGAGGAGGAGAGAAAAAAGAAACAGGAATAAAAAGAGGAAAGGGAGTAAGTTTCGGGACACGAGCAGACATTGGAGGGCCCCAAATTGATTTTTGCTTAGGGCCCTAAGAGACTCTAGAATTGCCTCTGCACAGCAGTCTAAGGCTACGTTAGCCGAACTAGGCCAGAGCCAGGCCTAACTAGAAGAGGGGATGTCTACCTCCCAGACCCTGAATGGTTGATGGTTTCAAAGAGGAAGTGCCTGTAATGATGCTATTCGATACTTAATAACAAAGAGTCTGACAAATGAGTTCTCATTTCATGGCTTTCCAAATCAGCAGACCACAAACTAAGGTAATTAAACATATCTGATAACCCATAAGCTGCTGTAACACAACAGCTAATTGAAGTATCCAATCATTTCTTTGGTGACTTTACTGTTAAATGCTACACTTTATGAAAGGAAATGCATACAGTTTAATCAAAAAAATTCAAAACATATTTAACCACTCTCCTGTTATCATATTAGATCTCCTAATGCAGGTGTTGTTTACATGGAAAAAACCTTCCTTGACACAGCTGTACTTTGAGATCTCAAAATAATTCACAAAAAATACTTAAGTGTTTGAAAGTTTTGTTTTTGTTGTTCTCTGTATTAGCATTGTACCGAGATGTGTTTTAATTTGCATAATGTTTCATAACCTTAATGTCTCCGGGTTAAAAAAAACACCAAGAAAGATCATTTTATTGCAAACTTGATTACACCCAGGGATTCAAATGTTTCCAAGATGTGCTTTGATATTTCAGAATTCATCTATGTTTTACCTTTCGTACCGGTAACACTATTTCAAAGTAATGGTAGCTTGGGAGTGGTTGTAGAGGTTACCTGTTGTCTGGTGGTAGCTACTGGGTTATCAGATATATTGTTCTATGTTAAATCAAAGTGGCAACCTCCAGTGTTAAAAAAATGAAGTTCCTTAAGTGTCCACTTGAGGCTGACTCCAAAAGAGCATGAAGTCCCATTAACACCCATGTTGAAATGCCCATTTTGACAGCAGGAATTTAAAAGTTTCAAGCCTGGTACTGAAAAGGATTTTGGTCTGAAAAGCTAATGTCTTTATCAGCACAAACTGTATGTGGGGAGTGTAACTCATCTGTTTATGAATTATAAGAGCTATTCTTAATAAGGGATCATAAGGGGCATGGCTGATCTGACAGATGGGCGTGTGCATTGTAGATGTTTGTCAGGAGGCTTACGGAGCTCCTTAGCTCCAGGTCTTTTCCTGGTACTATCAGAGGTGTCAAAAGTATTCACATTAATTATTCAGGTAGAAGTATAGATACTAGAGTTTAAAAAGACTAGTATCAACTCAAGCTTTTTACTTAAGTAAAAGTAATGTAAGGGGAAAAAAATGCCATTAAGGACAAAAGCTTAGGCCGCACCACAGGGGTCTATAGTGCACTACCCCACCTCCCCAAAAAAACATTTTTCTAAAGGCCATAATGACTATAATGTTATATTAAAATGTTAATGTTGAAAAATGTGGGATGCACCTGTTTCAGGTGCATTTATGCCCATTGAAAATGAACGCATTTTAGTACAATGCAAATACATTAAAGAACCATATATGTGTACTACTGAGCATTAACATGTGTTTCATGGAGCGGAAGATTTGATGACTAGTTGCCTATGGGACAATTCGCTCGAGTTCTCTTGAGTCTCTGCCACGGACATCTTCGTACTAGGCTACATACGTCTGCTATTTCCTTGCTGGAGTGTGACGTGATTTGTGTCATGTGCAGGTGCGATGGATCGCCTACAAACCAATAGGGTGTTGGAATGGTATATGTTTATACTTCGCATCCAACCACAATCAAATTCACTCTATCCGGATGGCCCCAAAATAAAATAGAAGTAACGAGGCTATTTTTAAAATGTAAGAAGAAGAAAGTACAGATAATTGTGTGAAAATGTAAGGAGCAGAAGTAAAAAGTTGGCTGAAAAATAATTACTCCAGTAAAGTATAGATACCCCAAATTTCTACTTAAGTAAGTAACTTAGTTACTTGACACCTCTGGGTACTATGGACCACAGAAAAAAAGTAAAAATAGACACAGCATTTTCAATATGGCGTCTGCCAGCAGTAGACTTCAAAAGTGACATCACTGAGACTATGACCATGTAAATACAGTATGAGGTTGAATCCCTCCTGAAAATTGCGAGCCATTGTATTTTTAATATGGAAGCAGTAAAAGTATAAAGATTCATCAGATTTCCTCAATTAGTATCCTGGAATACAGTAGAATGACATTTTAACATCACCTAGGCTCCCTTAATGTGACTTCATGTGAATATGGTCAAAAATTCGGCTATCCAACAGAGCTGTGCTGCAGGTTTGTTCCCACGGGGGAACGCATCCTAAAAAGGTATGCGTGGTATGATTGTACTGCAAGGCAGTTTGGATTAAAGCAAGCAACGACAGCACAGATAAACAGCTCATTTGTTTTACAAATGTCTGAATACAATGTGTCCAAATATACCAAAAATGTAGTCGCTATCATTGCATCTAATCAGTGCAGTACTTTGATGTATTAAAAGTTTTAAGTACAGGACATTTATTTATTTAAGTCCATGACTCAGAATCATTTCTAATGTGAACCTAAAATATAAGAACAGCAGTACATCAGCTGGGTCATTGTGTTATGTATATCATTCTCTATTCTCCAACCATGCTCTCTCTGCAGACACCTACACTAAAATACATTCAGCTGTAGTGTTAGTCAGATCAAAACAAATGTTCCCAACATTTAATTACTAATTCAATCACTGGTCACAATACATCATTCTGAATATGTTTTGATTGGAGAGTCCTTTTTGGTCAAAGAAAGAGAATCAAATGGTTAAAGATCATTGAAAGTTCCTCATCACTACCTCACGTCCTTATTTCTTTTTTCGCTATGATATTAAGAAAGAGCTATAAAACATGTACATCAAAGACATTTTAACCCTCCATTTTTAAACTTACTAACCTTCACATACTCACTTTAGTTGCCCAATCAGTCAATATGGGAAATAGCTGTGGATCAAATGAGTTCCAGGTAGGACACGTGTGGGGTCACTGCCCTTGAGACCAGGTTTAGGAGCAGATTGGAAGCTATTAACCAGAGTAGGGATTTTCTAAAAGTAGTAAAAAAGAAAGGAAAGAGGGAAGGGGATTTGTTCTGAACGCATGGGCACAATGAATAAATGTTTTCAAGCAGAAAATAAGCAAAGCTGTATCAGAAATCCTCAGAAGACTAGTAATTTACACAACTAAACATGAATGCTAAAAGCAGAAAACGTGCAACTAAGAGTTAGTTTCAGATAAAATATGTGACATTACACCAGCACAGTCTGACAGGATGGAAAAATGCAAACAGTCTGAAAAACACATTTAAAAGTTGTATTTGTTTGTCTTTAATTAGCATGTGCACAAATTTAATTTAAGTGTTTATTGAGATTGTTCATAGAGGTCAGCTCATCTCTCTCTCTCTCTCTCTCTCTCTCTCTCTCTCTCTCTCTCTCTGTCACAGGGGAGAGTGGAGGTGGAGGCGGGAAAAGAGGGGATGAAATTTGAAGCAGGACCGTTCTCCTTCTATGGGATGTTGGCTCTGACGGCCTCACCAGGTAAGAGCCCTGCACAACACACACACACACACACACACACACACACACACACACACACACATTGAGTTTGTTTGGCAACAAAACATCTTCAACATGCTTCTTGGGCAGGTTTGCTTTCTTTTTATGTAGATCCAGACCAGTCATACAATTTTGGGATCTACTTCGGCTTATCCTTATAAAAGAAAAGCCATAAATAGGTCTGGGCACCAAGCTAGCTTTATTAGTACTGAAATGTGTCTGTGGCACCAAACATTCAAAACTGTCATGGTGTCAACAGCTGGCTTTGGCTCAAATTCTAATTTTTATGTATCATCTTTTTATTTATTAGAAAAATCTGATTCAGTATAAATGCATGGCAACTGAAGATTTAATTTTTTGTGTTTTTTTTAGCTTCTAGTGTTAAATAAGAAAAAAAAACACATCCAGAACGTCTGTGTCCTAAATCTTTTTGAAATCGTCATGGTAACCAGATTGCAGCACCAAGCTTGCAAAATACAGATCATTTAAGGACCTCCTTTATCAAAAAGCCTCAGTGTACTTTGATGAGTGTTTCAACACAATAACTTTAAGGCCAACATGGCGGTCCTGCAGTGACATCACGTGAAGGCGTCACTGACTGATCCACTCAGTTCTCCCAGTTCATTCATAAACTTCAATACTACTCTCAGCCTTTTCAGCTCTGGTGATTCACATGCGTGGTAGGATCTGAGAGACACCTACTGGTGAAAAAGCAGAATGAACTTCTTGTCATTTGAGCAGACACTCAGCAGAAAGACGTCACGATTCAATTCATTTAAGATGAGCAAGTTTTGTATTCTTAGCTGCTCGGAGGTCGTGAGGCTTATTGACAGGTTGCTCTTCTTATGCTGAGGGTGGTTTTATAGATGTTGACGATTTCTGTGTATGCACTAAATATTTCCAAACATTGAAACATTTTACTGTCTCCCTTTTTCTTTTCTCTTCCTTGTATCTTTCCTCTCTTCTCAAAGTGCCTCTGTCCCTGTCTCGCACATTTGTGGTCAGTAGGGCTGAATCACTCGCAGGATCTCCAGGTACAGTGGGCTTTTCTAACTATACATACATTAACATGTAACGTTCATAATTTAATGTTGACATTAAAAAGAAGCATAGAACCCTAGCCCTATTCTCTATTTTCTATCTATGGTGGCGTAAAGTTCTGGGATTGTATTGTGTTTTCTGTAGAATTTAGAGTGGGACTAAAGAAAGGGCATGTCTGAAAAGTCCGATTGTACCTGAATGCAACATGTACTATATATTTTCATTTGTATAAGTGAACGAGAAAAACGAGAGGGGAACAAAGGTTTGGATCGAGACTTAACGCTCTCATCCCCTGAGCCATTAGTCAAGTGGCTGAATGGTGCTGGAGACTGGAGGCCCCAAAGCAGATCCAGGCTCCGCCCCGCTCGCCCCTAACCTCTAACCCTCTCACAACATAAACAAGACCTACAGCTACAGCCCCCTGCCGGACAACCACTGAGCGCACACACAAAGACACGCACATACACATATGTTCACATGAACAGACGCATATAAGCAGGGCATACACACACACACACACACACACACACACACACACACACACACACACACACACATAACTAACTACTCCAAAAAAAGTCCCCAACTGGGATTAATAAAGTTGTGTATGTGTTTCCAAAATGATCTTATTGAGCTTCTTACTACGTCAGAAATCTACCCACATGCATCCAGGAAAACTCTCACTTTACCAAACCCCTCACTATTTCAGAACCTCTTATATTTTGTTTCTCTCGCAGGGTTTCCCCCCTGCTGTGCACACATCTGAGTGTGTGTCTGTGTGTATGTTAATGCATTATGTGTGTATTCTTGACACACTCCGCCATTTTCATGGCCCCAAGAAACTGGAGTACTTATCCGCAAAAGTTCACATGCCAGGTCTTTGGCCAACTGTGTCCCGATGCACACACACGCACACACAAGCACACACATATTCCTACATGGGATTACATACATTCCAGTCGGTGTAGTAGCATTAGTGTTTGCCAAGCCGTTTCCACTTTGTTGTGTGTGATTTTCACTAGGCTTTAAGAAGTGGAAAACATAATCTGTCTTTAATTAAACTTTATGAAAAAATAATAAGAAAGAAAAAACAGAACAAGTGCTCGGAGTGGTAGTGCATAGAAGGAAGCAGCATCACTGGAAACCACTAAGTCATTACCTGGTGTACAATACTTGCCTCACCTAAAGACTTAGGAAGATATTAGATTTCCATACATCACAGCAAGCATCTATGCTAACATCTAACGCTTGACCAGGGAAAAATGTCACCAGCAGACAGGATTTTAAGAGCTGCTGAAGTTGTGTAACAGCTCAGTAGTTTCCAAGAAAATTGTGAGTTTTCAACAGGTACATCACAAGAGCTGTACTTTTCTGTAGCAATGACAATATGCTTAATGTGCAAAAAAATGATATCTACATCGACTATGGGCTGAACTTCAAACTGACACATTAAACAGGTTCAGTCTAAAACCTCCAAACAATGATTTTAACACTGTCACATGAACTGAGACGGTAACTTTATCAGTTTGTTATTAGGGTGCACTTAAGCTCATGCTAACATCAACATGCAAGGATGCTCACAAGGACAATGCATACATGCTAAAAGGTCACAGTTTTTGCTAAGCCTGTTAGCTTGCTAGTATTAATCAATCAATCAATCTTTATTTGTATTGCGTCAATTAATGACAAGTGTTATCTTGAGACACTTTACAAAAAGCAGGTAAAAAGACCTTACTTATTGCTATGTTACAAAGACCCAGCTTAATCCATCATGAGCGTAGAACTTTAGCAACATTTAGCAAAAGTTACAGTGGCAAGAAAAAACTTCCTTTTTAACAGGCAGAAATCCAGACTCATGACGAAACAGCCATCTGCTGAAAGTGCGCTGGGTAACTAATTAGGGCATATCAGCTGAGGGCTGATGAGGATATTGTTAGTTTTACAGGTGATATTTAAATAGTTCAGATGATGATATGTCACTAAAAGCCAAAAACAAATTCACCTTCTGTTGACACTAGCCTGAAAGTCAGACTTGTTCATGAGCGTTACAGAAATGTTGTTTTTTCTTTATTCATTCAAAAGTTATTATGGTATTCAAGCTGGAACAACACTTTATAGCATTACTACACATCATAGTAACGGGAAATGCCAACAGTACTGTGATGGGATGAATGAGATGAGTGGCTTCATACTGATGATCCTGATGAGATTAAACCTGCAGGAAGACAAGTATATCATCCTCAATGTGTCTCTTTTCATTTTAATATCAGAGCGCACTGAGTATCACCTGGTTTTTCCCCTATGTCTTCACCAGAAAGAAACCTGTGAAATGTATTTTTTTTATTTATAGACTTGACATTTCAGTGTACAGGTAATTGAACTGTTTTCTCCTCCTTCACCACCTCCTTACAGAAAATAAGTCTCCTCCACGGCCGTTTGGACTCAACCACTCAGACTCTCTGAACAGGAGTGATCGTATAGACGCCATCACCCCGACTCTCGGCAGCAGCAACAACCAGCTCAACTCCTTCCTGCAGATCTACGTACCCGACTACTCAGTCAGGGCGCGCTCAGACCTGCAGTTTATAAAGGTGAGAACAAATACTGGTGAGCAAGAAAGACACACTGAAGGCACGTGGGTCCATAAAGGTAACCGTTTGATCAATATGTATATTTGGTACCAACACATCGATACTGGAATCTTAGCTGCCAGTAAATGTGCCCAGGGAGTCTTTTTGTGGGAACTCGGGGGTTGTGGGTACCAGGGCAGATGCTACTCATGAGCCATCCCCCCCCATCAGCCATCTGATAAGTAAGAAGTGAGAGCTGTGTCAGAATCCTCAGCAAAAAGTCAAACCTGATCCTGGTGGGTGTTTGCTTCTGTTTTGACTTGTCTTTTGGGGTCCTTTTTGCCTTTTTTGATAGGAATGCTGAAGAGAGACATGAAATGTATAGGGAAGAGAGGGTAAGGTAGACATGAATCAAAGGGCTGAAGCCGGGAGTTGAACTTGTGGCCCATGCATTAACTACTGCAGCTTCTGTATATGAAGACTCTGCTCTACTGACTGACCCTAAACGTTGCTCCTGGTCCTCCCTTGTTAACCACTGTGTGATTTCATGGACAGGATCTTAAGGAACATCCAGGGCAAGCAGAGTTTCCAGCTACAAAGCCTCAGAACTATGTCTTTGCTTTTTGAGGGATTACGTGGCTCTATTTGCGTTGTAAAACTGTCCTCCAACACTACTGTGGTTTACAGCTAAAAGTGAAGCCGAACAAAGTCAGCATCCACAAGACTAAGGGTCGGAGGTCATTGGTTTCTACTGGATCATGATGGATTGTGGATTTAATAGCTGCCTCAAGTGAAGGAGGGTCCAAGTGTCTTGTTCACATCATTAAACTGAAACATAGACATAAGTGCACAGTGGGATTAGTTACTTCTGATGGTCACTTCACATCGCAGCCTCGTCATCAGTGTGTGAATGTGTAGGTGTGACCTGCGGTGTAAAGCACTCTAAGTAGTCAGAAGACTAGAAAAGCACCGCAAGTTCAAGTCCATTTACCATTTAACATATGTCACCCTCGGCCGTGAGCATTGGGTAGTGAATGAAAGAATGAAAATGGGACTATTGAACTAAATTAGTTTCCTCAACATGACGGTTGGCTAAAGCCTTAAATATTATCTCCAGCATCTAGAGGGAGCTTGGAAAAGAGCACTGCTCCTTGAGAGGAGCCAGTTGAGTCTGTTCAGGGATCTGATTAGAAAGCTTCCTGGGTGCCTCCTTTTGATGATTTTCCTGCAAAATGACTGATAGTGCATCCCGGGTAGACTAGTGTTGTAGTCAAGACCTCACTAATTGAGACCAAGACAAGACCGAGACATTTAGGGATTGAGACCGAGTCAAAACCAAGACCAAGGTAGGGTGAGACAATGACAAGACCATAAGTATAAGTCTTGAGACCTAGACCGATTTCCAGTACAAAAACACTTGGGTAGACTAAGCACATGCTATATCAATGCTGGCCTGGGAGTCCCTGGGGAACTTCATAGAGGAGCTGGAAACGGGTTCTCCACTTACTATGATGGGATATGAGTGGGAACAACTGTCTTTGGCTTGTATCCTGACACTGAGCACACATGGCCTTTCTCTCAAGACGTTATGGTCAGAACCTAGGCCTCACCTCCTTTAAGCATTCATCCAGCCGAGGCGCATTCTAAGACTTTGATTTATGTTATCTTTTCATATCCAAAGTTCCATCTGGGACGTTGTATTAGTGCCAATAATCTGATCTGTGGTCATGATCAGTATAGGGTCAGTTACCAGGATGTCATTTGATTAGTCTTCTTCTTGGAGAGTCAGGAGGTATTTTTCTTTTAGTAGCCATGAGGAGTGGCTCCTCCTGATAAAGTAACGGACCCTGCTGAACCTGAACAAATTGAATCAAATAACGGTGAAGGCAAACAATAATAATACATTCTCAAAAACTATAATCATGATGAAAATGAATTTAAAAAGTGTTGACAATAGGTTACGTAAGTATCTACCTGCCCTACAAGCCGAATTATATCTACTGCGACTTGTGATCTCACCATGGCTGTCATTCTTTTCTTTCCTCCTAGGTAACACGCCAACAATACCAGAACGCTGTAATGGCGTCACGTATGGACAAAACGCCACAGTCGACAGACAGTGAGTTCACAAAAATTGAGCTCACTCTGACAGAGCTACATGATGCAGTGGAGACCCCCACTGTCGTCGTCACCACAGCCAGCACCACCAGCACCACCCCTGCCGTGTCTGTCGTCGTGGCAAACGAGACGTCCCACCTGCTCAATCAGCAGCAGAACTGTGTGGGCCTCAGCAGGAGCAACCACAGCACCCACAACGAGGGACCCATCTAGCCCCCCGTTAAGCCTGGTGGAGACCCAGTTCCCACCCTGTCTCATGGACACACACACGGAGCAGTGGCAAAGATGGAGATGAGGGAAAGTGGGGAAGTGGAGGCAGGTGGAGTGAAGGTTCTACTCCAACCAGAAATCCCCCAGTCAGTCAGTGAGACCCTTTCATGAAGGGGCAGCGGGGAGGAAAGGTGACGTGACACCCTGGACTCCCCCACCTGAATGCTGTCAGAATCCCTGCTGTACTACACGCTTTTAAAGTGGGTGCACTTGAACAGTTCCTGTGACTGAGCTTCTTTTTGGGACAATCAGACACTTCCATTGTGATGACTTGGACCGGAGGGTGACGGAGTGCATGTGAGCCCTGTCCCTTTGCCCTACAAACGCAAACACAATGAACGCGCACACATGCAACACAACACATTTGCTGTATTTCCTACTCAGGCCAAAGACTTTGGTCCCCCCATCCCCCACCCCCCCTTCCTCAACTGGACACAGACAGTTTTTATAGATACACACAAAAAAGTCACATTCCCAAAAACTAACACACACACACAAACCTAAATTCATCTCCCCCACCTGTGCATCTTTCAGGGAGGCTCAGTAGACTTTTGATCCCATCAGCAAAGACTCAAACCCACACTAGCAGAGAGCGACGGTTGGTCAAAGACTGCACCAAAAACCGCTTTGAAATAACTCCTTAAACCACGAACCAAGAATGTTTTCCTGTATTTATTTATTTTATAATATTGTACGGTATGTATATATGTATGCGTGGAGACATGATATGAAATAAACTGGTATACGTGCATGCTCGAGCATGTACACTAAGATGTGCTGGGGGCACACGCGTCATATCAAAAAGGACATGCAACATATATGGAGACAAACATCCATTCTTGTATATGAGGTGGGGAGGGTCTTTTACAGATACAGTATGTATATTACAGATCTTGTTATTTTTACTATTATCCTAAATCAGGCTTATGGTACTCTATCTTTTTCACCTTAAAACAAATCACAATATTGCCTTTAAGAAAAATCATATAATTAATTATTTTAACAAAGTGCAATGAAAAGCAATTTATTTAAGAGATGATTACAAATACAAGAAATGACTGTATTATAAATTGACAGATATATTTGTATGTACTGTATGTATATGTATATTTGTTTTTAAAAATGCTAAACAGCAGCCATCCACAAGCAAAATTCTCCTTAGGCAGAATCTCTTTGTCTCTCGTTTCATGTTTTTGCATCCTTTGACCTTAAAGTCTAATATATGTTCATGTGGGAGTCATGATGCCTGGACCATTCACAAATGTGAAGGAGGGGAGGGGAGGGGAAGGGGGGGGGGGTGTCGGGTGGTGGTGTGTGGAAGTGCCAACATGGAACCTATCGAGTGGAGGTTATGTGTCCTATATTTTTTATTTTTTTGTGTGTGCCAATTTTACACGTAATCAAACTTGATAATTGCACAGTATTAATGACCTCATCTAACATGTTGAGCATCGTCAACGTCACAAAAAGTAACCTCGACATTAAACATGTCCATGTATTATACACAGCTATGCTTTCCCTACGTTTATATGTGAACGTGCTTTTCTTTTTTTTCCCTGCATGTTGGTTTCTACGGTGCAGAAAGTCTATTTCTTGACAGCAGTGAATGTGTAAGAAACTAGGCTTCACTTGTTTTGGCTCCCCCACACGATATCGATTATATTCCATGCTTAGTAATGCCTCTGTTCATTATGGTTCAATTAGAAGAGAAGTCTTCATAAATGTTGGCGGCTACTTAAGACATAATTATTTTTGATTTAATTTGATCATAGAAACACTTTAACCTTAACATTTATTCTCTCACAATTTAAAAAAAAAATAGCTAAATACACTTATATGTAGTCGAGCTGAGAGTTAATATTAGCTACATCTAGAAGCCAGTTAGCTTAGCCTAGCAGGAGAACTGGTAACAGATGAAGACAGCTAATCGAGCGTTATCAAAGGTCATGAATAACCTCTAAAGCTTACTCATTAGTTAAAAAGTCACTGCCCCAAGCCAAGAAAAAGTCTCGACCATAACACCCTGTAAAACCACAATTTATTTTTGTATCCTATATGTTTGCTATGCTACCATGTTTATTTCACCATTCAAAAAGTGATCCTTTTTATAAGCTGAATTTGATATTTTCTTGTCTTTTCTCAATCCCAGTGACTTCTTGGAGTAGTTAAAGTGCATTATTATTTTACATTATTTTTTAAAGATGTATTTTTGCCTTCTTTGGCCTTTATTACAGAGACAGGACAGTGGATAGAGAAATCAGGGAGAGAGTGGGCAATGACATGCGGCAAAGGAGCTAAAGTCCTCGCTCTGAGGACTGTAGGCTCTGTACAAACTAACCACTAGGCCTTCTGCACCCCCCATGAGTGCATTCTTTTCAACATTGAATCATGTTTTGCTTCTCCCTGGGTTTTCAGTCTTTGTTCTAAGCTACTGTAAGCTAATGTCTCCTGAATGCATCCTTTTAATAAGTCCACAGATGTCAAACTGTTTTCTAAAGACCCTTTTGTTTGTTGTTGCTTCGGTATCTTCTCGCCCTCGTTGTTTTACCTCACTAAGACATGAAAGCCTTTTTAAGATACTGTACGTGTGCTTGAAGATTCTCCTACAAAGGCCTTAGCGCAGAATAATTCTGTTTTATTCAAATCTGTAGAGACATAGATTTTAACTAATTAACCTTGAAAATTAATTTGATTCAACTTCCAGATCTGTACCATAATACTATTTGTACTGTATGCTGGCAGTCTCCTTGTCAGATAACAGGATTCATCAGTGTCCTACAGCTGAATGCTATGTTTGAATATTCAGTTGCAGTTTGTTACCACTGGTGGTCGCTGTTTTCATACTTCAACCAACATGTTAGAGTCTTAAAGCAGCACACACGGACAAACAGCCCCTCCATCTGCTCGGCCACGAGGGGAGTCTCAGTTGTGTAACCAGACACAGAGGACATGTGCATTGTTTGCAGCTGTGTGTTCGCTGTTGTTTTATTGTTTACTTGAAAGTGCTCCTATGCAGCAGGCCCCGCTCTGCTCTGCAGGGACAATCACTCCAGAGATAAAGCGATGAATGATGATCAGATTGTAGTACTCTGCTTTGCCCTTCACAGTGCCTGACAGGGGAATGAGAAGCATGGTGACATTTCACAAGTCAAAATGCACAACCAGAAAGACTGGGGGAAGCCTCAGCTGGGGGCATGGGGTTTCTTTTTTTTTTTTTTTTTTTTTTAAATCTTCTGTTATACACCACTTTCAGAAGGTCTTCTCGCACACTTTCATCCTCTTCTGGGCACATATTCCTTCCATGTGAATGCTTTGCAGGCCTGTTAAACTGGTCTCTTTGTCAATCCCAATGCTGCTACTGTACCCATGTGCTGTCCATAACGCTTCTTCTACCTGAAAACAACATTCCCATTGCCTCCACCAGCTGGTGGTTTAATAAAAAAGTGAATCATTAACAGACACATGGTCGGCGACTCAATGAACTCACTCTAAACTCTACTTATGTTTCATGAGAGGGTACATTTTGCTTTGGCAATACAAGAAACCACGAGTCAGCAAGTTTCTTCTAAATTATATCTGCGTACTTTTTTAATGTTCATCGTACAAACTCTACATTATTTTTTTTTAGGCAGGCTTTTTGCCTTTATTTTGAAAGGACAGCTGTAGATAGACTGGAAATGTGGGGAGAGAGAGTGGGAGATGAGATGCACCAAACAGCATCAAGATCAGGAGTTGAACCTGCAACTTTGCATCCAGGACTGTAGCCTCTATACATGGGGAGCCTGCTTTACCAACTGAGCTAAACCAGCGCCCCAATCCTGGGTTAAGTCTGAATAGAACAAAGAGCAGCATGTGAACCAGTATGACCATTAGCTTACTATGACTATACTGTGCTAACAACATTTTATTTATTTCTACTTCTGAGTTTTCATGATATTCTTTTTTTTAAAGGTTTATTTTGGGGCTTTAGAGATAGGACAGTAGATAGAGTTATAAATCGGTGGGAGAGAGAGAGAGAGTGGGGAATGACATGCAGGAAAGGAGCCACAGTAGCATCTGTACATGTGATGCCATTCTAAACACTATGCCACCGGTGCACAAGATAGTCTTTTTAAAAAAAAAAAAAAAAACCTTGGCTGCTGTTCAGCTACAAAGAAAAGGCAGCCAAGCTTGTAAAATAAGGAAAAGGGTTCAGGCCACACACATTTGAAAAAAAAAAACAATGTTCTTTTACATTTAATATTCAGAGAATTCTGATTACCACAGCTCCCCTCTTGTTTGTATCTCCTTTTTTTGTGATTGTGTCTATGCACGTTTTGGTGAATAAGGGTTAAAAAAAAAAATTATAATAATAATAATAATTCTGATTATATTTAGAGATTCTTATAATTTTGATTTAAGGTCAGCAGTCAGACTTTCTTCTCAGAATTAGGACTTTAAAGTCAGACTTTTGGTCGTCATTTAAAATGTACTTTGCTTCTGTCAACTGCTGAGTCAGGAAACACTGCAGTAGCAAACCCCCCCCCCCCTCCCCCTCTGATGTGTAAACATTACATGTACTGTATGTGTTTGACAAACCTTTACATGTCATGTCTTTCAGTTCTAATGGCAGTCTGTTAACTACACATGTTAAGGTGTTTATATCTAAACACTGAAGGATCCATCCACAGTGTCGTAACTTCTTCTAGATACTTCTTGTACTTCTACGGACGGATGATTGCATTTCATCATTATGATACATCTCTAAAGAATCCTCCGCTAGTCCAAACTGATGCAAACAATTACTGAGAAGAACAAGGAAAAAAATATCTTATTCCTCAACGGGCCTTTTTAACCCTTTGGATCTTTGTGCTCCCAGAAAGCGGGTCTGCTTGCGGGACCTAGAATCAATAAACTAAATACAGGAGGCAGATAGACAACAAAGAAACAAGACAATTATGAAAAACTATCTTTATTCTACATATGTATCAATGTACAGTGTGTTGGAGAATGTCTGGAAACAAACAAACAAAAACCACTGTTCAGGAGAACGTGTATTCAAAATGCATCAAAACTAAAGAGAACTGAAAGGTGACGTTTTGGCACCTTAATGTGGATGCACTGTGGGCATCACAGCCACAGACACAAATCCTCTTCAAATTCTTAAACCGGTTAGTCCAGGCTTCAGTTTGTTCAAAGAGCGAACAAGCCTTTTTCTTTAAATGGTAGAGTATAAAAGTTAACAAAACAGTTATTTGGAAAGGAAAAGGAAAATGGAAATGTCTATTTACAGTTCTGTAAACCAGGACCTTTTAAAAACATTAGCTTAGAAAAATAAAAATAAACCCATGGTGATGATAACAGGTGACTCATTTGTTACGTAATATGCTGTTCACACTTCCCTTCGTTGTAAGAGTTTCTTTTTTTGACAGGTTTGAAGTCTTGTGTCCCTGTAAACTACGATGACAAATCACAAAGAAAAACTAAACCATAAAATGCAAAAAAACAAATGCTACCTTTACCACCTCTGTAGAATGGATATGCTTGTTATTTTCACATGCATACGCAAATAATGCTAAGAAAAAGACAGTAGGCGACTTCCTATTACCAATGCAGCTGCCGTATGTAGCATATCCAGTTACTCTATGTTTAAGAAACCAAATAACAAAAACTCAGAATACAAATAGTTCATTTGTAAGATTAGCGATAAAGAATAAATGATGACAAAATGCTGTTATAAGTTCCTAAAAGTGTCACGAGGGTTTATCCAATGAATGAGCAGAGAAAAGAGCGGTTCAACACTTTCACCTTCTCAAACCACTTCAAACCAAACTCAATAATAATGCAGAACGTAGACGGTGAGATCCTTCCCTTTTGTGGCCGCAAATCAATGGGCCACGCCAACACTGACAGGAGGACATGAAATATATTATATATAAAGGGGGGGGGGGGGGTTAACATACAGGATACACTGAATGTTTAAAAAAAAATAAAGGAGAAAAAAAGATAAACTCAGAATGTGTATAATGTATCTTGGTCTTTTGTAATAACTCTGTGATCACTCCTGTTAAATGAGTTCAGAGCCTGATAGCAGCTTCAGACTATGGGGGGGGGGGGGGCGATAAGGTCGAAAACATATGAAAAAGAAAGTATTTTAAACCACAACCAAGGTTCTTAACTCTGCACTTGTGTCACTAATTCGACATAGGCAGAGTTCTGTTTCAATATATGTCACACTTACATTTCCTTGTTTTAAATAAAAGCGGGAATCGTTTGTCAATTGCCATTTTTCAATCCAAATTTAGGGTACTTTTCCCCACTTCTTTCTAGAAGACACAACGGGACAAAACATATTCTGCAGAGAATCTTTCTGTTCGTTGGTGTCTTCAGGGGAAATAAAATTCCTCACATGTCAGGAATCATTCCTAAAACTCTTCCCCTTGCACTTTACCCTGTTAGAAGTTTTTTTTTTTTTGCATACAGCATTTTGATCTTTTTAATTTCAAACATCAGTGTTTTCCTCTTTTTTTTCTGTTTCAAATTGAATTAAAACTGGATGGAGACTGTTTTTAAAAAAAGAACTAAAATCACAAGCATCACTGCCCTAATGATGCAGCTTTCTGTGAGTGATAAAGACATTTATCTTCTGTCGTTAGAAACATGAAATGTTTTAAGGACGTTCTTTCAGGGGGCTTGAAGCTTCTCATTCGTTGTCTTGCAAAGTCTTAAACATGTGCAAAGTGAAGTGCTTAAACTACGAGGGTTTCTTTTTTTAAATACAGTTTTGAACTAGTGACACAGAATCATCTCTATCATGAAACGGTTGCTTCACAGTGTTCAAAGCCCAACAGAAGAATACTGTGCACACTCAAGCTTCACTCTCTCTGCTGGCACATTTCCTCATGAATATGATGCCGAATTAAAGGTTGGCAGTACAAAACACACTCACACACACACACAGAAAGGCCCAATCCACGGAAATAAAGAAATCAAGCTAATCACAGTTTGAAGTAGAACTACAGAAATTAGCTTGAAACTGTGCATTCTCTAAAGCCTCATTGCCTTACATCCTGAGGCCACATTCAAGCTCACAATATCTTCTACTGTACATTTCCCTTATCAAAATAAAAGCCTTCTGACACGGTCGGATGCATCATTCAAGTTTCTTCTTCCTACATAACCAAGTGGAGAAAATACTGCATGTTGGCTGCTGGTGGCGTTAAACCGTTCACCTGATTGCTATGCACAGTTGCCTGGTAACAATCACTTCAACAGACACCCACTGTTGTGTTGTGTTCTCGCACACGAGTCTTGATACAAAGGATGCATCCGGTTATTCATCGGTTTAACGCCGGCTTGTGCTTCAGTGCTCCTGTGCTTCACTTTAGTACAATGGATCCTTAGCTTACTGTCGGCTCGGATGCTGCAGTCTGAGTGAGTACACACACAGAAACACACACACCCCCATTTACAAGTAATCCTCTAAGATAACAAGAAAAAACACAAAATCAAACTGAGCAGATGACAAACTAAATGTTGTTCCCATGTTGCATATAAAAAAAGGTCTGTTTTAACGGCGTGTGCATCTTTTTTTTTTTTTTTCAAATCCATAACTGCAGAGCGTTCTCCTTTGATTATAATGTGCATACTGTGTCTGCAGGGCTCGTCTGTTAGGATTTAACTTACTGACTATGTCTGATGGATTCAGGAGTAAATTATAAATACATCTATTCATCCCACCAGCAGATCTTAGAAGTCAGCTGATGAAACACAAGATATGTGATATCTGTCTGCCTGACGCGGGGAAATAATACAGAAAAGAAATTAAAAATCAATGAAGCATGGAGAATTTGGGTTTAAGAGGAACAAGCATGCAAACAGTCCTCTGACAGTCATATGATCTGTCTCACTGGTCCTTTTTACTTTCCTCCAGCATCTTCAGTGTGTGTGTGTGTGTGTGTCTTTGTGTTTATGTGCATGTGTGCACACAGTTTGGACATTTATACACAAACACACACAGACACACATTGGAAATGATGTTCCTCCTTGCCGCACTATAAGAGAGATAACTACCCGACTCTACTGGGAAGGCAGGAACAGGAGCGTGGCTTTCCTTTGTTAGTCAGTTTTAACACCTACTCCTCCTCCTCTTCTTCCTCCTCTTCCTCTTCCTCCTCCTCCTCCTCCTCCTCCTCCTCCTCCTCCTCCTCCTCATCATCATCCTCATCGTGGCAGTGAGTGATCTCCTGTGGAGTCTGGGGGAACAGGTTTGGAGGTTTTATCTCGCTGAAGGAGCGGGTCAGCTGGTTGCGTTTGCAGTCCAGGTCTTTACAGTTGCTGCATTGGGAGCGGTTGCGTGTGGCCAGTGGTGACTCGATGTCGATGTCCACGTGGGCGTGCTCCACTGTCGACTCGTGGGGCATCTGGGGACGAGGAAGGATAAAAGAGAGTAAATCACTTAGCCTAAAACAGTGTGCTAGACTGACATGAGATGTTTTTGCTTCAAACAAAACTAAAGTGGCAGCATGACGTGCTTCAGGGTCACATAATGGGAGACACAATGACTGACAGTCATTATTTTTATACCATCTCAAGCCCTCACAGACAGACTCAAGCACTGCAGGCATGACGCCATTAAAGTCCATGATGGTTCCATGCTCAGGCTTTAGGGTGGATGTTGGTATTGGGCGGCTCTAGCCCCGATCAGAGGTGAGGAGCAGACGTCACTGGGCTGGTACGTAATGACTCCTTTTTCAAATTTTACTTTTTTACAGACCAATATGACTGGAGGGAAATGATTATAGATGAACTGATCCAAACATAATGTGAAGTCATAGAATCTTAATGTTATGAGACATCTATGGCCAAGTGTCCACAAGTACGCTGGGGAGCGTCTGCATGAAGCGTTTGTGCGTTAACAACAAAAGTGATTCGCGTCTGTCCTGTCTCCATGGCAACAGTCTGTTGACAGCGGCCGCGGTATGGCCGACACGGGTCCGTTACTTTTTACTGCACGTTTTATTTGAGACCCCAGCAGACACGTAGCAAAGAGGATGTGGGGACAAGATACGATCCATAGGAGGCAAAAATACAGGGAATATCGTACATTTTGAAAAGAGCGCCCGTGACGTCAACAGTGCCTTTCTAAAAGGTTGGAAGATGGTCGCACAAAAACAGCAGAGCGCTTGTTAAATAGAGGCTTGGTGCTGCGCTTTTCATCCAGGCGGCTGCTTTCTGCTGCGAACGCTCTCTACCCATTGAAAACAACTGAAAAAAGACGCTGTCGCTGAGGGAAAAAAAAACGCTAGGTGGACACGGGGCTTATATCAGTAAAATGAAACGTGCAAACTGACTCACCAGTACGTGTGCGGCTCTGAAGAGGTAGCTGAAGGGGTAGTACAGCAGGTTGATGAAGGACGCTGCGTACAAGTCTGCGTAACGCATTACTTGAGAGGCGAACAAAGTCTGTCTGGAGCCGCTGCGGAAAAGACTTCCCATCATGCCATAGCACATGTCCATGTCATGAGTCACTTTCTAAAAAGGCAGAAGAGAAGACACTGATGAGGTGGAAACATCAGTGTATTATTACTCTATACTTTGAATATACTATGAGGAGTTTATGACTTTCCTCTATAAACCTGTAGCAATACACACTGTATCAAGCTAACTGTAAACCTGGGTATTGATTACTCAGCAGCCACTGCTAAAGGTCTGTCAACAGGCTTCTTGTTGTCATAGAAACCATTGGGATAAAGGCTGTACCTTGACTCTTCTCTGAATAGTGCTGATGTCCGGCCTCTCATTGCTGCTGCTGTCCAAATGTCTGAGGAGGGACGAGAGAGAGACAGAGAGGGCGAGTGAGGCTAGGGGAGGGGAGGAGTCTCGTATTAGGCTGCTGAAAGGTAACATGTCAAAGAGGTGGTGCAACATCGAGTCTTGTCAGGCTATAAATAACGTCAGTGAACACAGTTATCAGGCAGCCCTTTAGACTTTACCCTGTTGACCCTGTTTGTCTTCCTCAAACACACGCTCACATGCATGCAACCAGACGCTGTTACTGGAGAGAACAGAGAGCAGCAGAACTGCTGCAAGGGAAGAGGATGAGGAAGGAGCTGGATTATGGTGAAGGGAGTGGGGAAATGAAGGTCATAACTTACTTGTAGAGTTCTGCAAGGAAAATGTCCAGGCCTTGCAGCTCCTCGAATAACGCTGGAAGACAAGAGCAGATGATGAGTCTCTGACCCCTTTGTGTGTTGTTGTAAGATTTGTAGTGCATAAGCAGTGTCATAGCCTAGGTTAGCTCCAGTATAAATATTGAAAATATGAAATTTGAATACATGTTAAAATTATCTTTTATCACTGGTAGTTTATTAATGTATTATTCTGAAACTAGCAGGTCTGACATTGCCAACCTGAGTTTAGACTGTATAAAGTTTTCTAATGACAGTACCAGGGGGAAAACACTCTGAATGCATCCCCTCCCTGAGGGACTCCAAAAGTTCAAGAATCAGGTCCTCAGATCATGTAGGATTCCAGTCATCCAATCCACAAACTGCTCCAGCTGTTGCAGTGGAGGAAGTCTCTCTGCTGCTAAACAGAAAGTTGAAGTGTCTGTCTGCAGACTTACAGCTCTTGTCGGTCCACACATGGAGCTCCTGGGCCAGCTCAGGTATGACCAGGAACGTCCTCCAGCCCTGACGCTTCTTAGACTTGAGGATGTCTCCAAAGATGTGGTCCCCGATGTAGACTATGTCCTTCCCCTTGGCGCCCAGCAGGTCACACACGATATCTGAGGAACCTACAAGTGAAAGATAAGACATTAGAAAGTTATTCTAGGCGCTGGTTAAGCTCAGCCGGTAGAACAGGAACCTAATTTACAGAGGCTACAGTCGTCAGCGTATCAATCGCAGGTAAAAATAATAACTAATAATAGACAGAACTAATAGTAATACTCAACATAACGGCTACATAAGAATCATTAGGGATGTTTTTTTCTGTTAGTTTATGCCTTAGTTGTGTCCATAGACTGTATAAAACATGGACATAGTCTCAGTGATGTCACCAATTTGTTTCTGAGGCAGATTTTTGAATCCTATCAAAGGTGATCGCCAAACTATCTCAAACTACTGACTGTAACCACGTTTATTTCTGCTGTAAAAATGTATGTGTGTATGTGACTTCTGGGGCTTTCTGAGCCAGCCTCCAGTGGACACTGGCGGAACTGCAGGTTTGTGCACTCCTGCATTTGCTTCCCTTTAAACCACTGGAGGTTGCCTCTTGGTTGTATCTGTGTATGTGTTAACTTTCTCTTTGTGTGTATCTCTTGTATTGTATCCTGAAAATGCACAATAAATATGAAACTGAAGACATGTAACAGTTAAAAACTAAACATGTCACAGCCGGACTGAGCCTTACCTCCAGAGTAGACGATACCATGCTGCAGAGGTCCAGTGTAGGTTCCTATCTTCAAACGTCCTGTTGTCTGAAATCAAATAAAGGATTGTTGAGGGGGATGAGATTTTGTATTGTTATCTAAGCTTACCTTAGCTACATTCAGCTTTCATAGACATGAATGAAGCCACATGCTAAAATGCTACATTGATAGAATTGCTAGATTTAGAAAACGTTAAACTAAATTTGTTTACAAATAGTTACAAGCTCTGTAATTGGTCCACCTACATAAATGTCCATCATTACTGTGAACATTTATCATTTACGTGAGGACACTTTTAAAACCCATAAATAGCTACAACTTCTCTGACGGATGAAGGTTGATTTAAAAATACAATCCAGCTAAAGATACCTGCTGCAGGCTAACAATGGGTGTTTATTAAAAGTTAATTAAAAGGAGAGACATCTGCGCCCCTGTTATGCTTAAATTGCAATGTGTAAAATAATCTATGAAGCTTTTCTATGGGTGCATGTTACAAATGTGAATTTTCAATCCAAGGGACGATTATCAGCACAATATTTCAGACTGTTTTAGTCAAGAGAAACAAGCCAAACATGCTAAAGATGGTCCTTAGACTAACATATTCACTCTTTTGGTTCAATTTTGTCATCTCTTGCACTTGTTTACTTGTAAGCATGCATCATATCAGCAGCCTAAAAAGTCATCATGCTACTGAGCTGCAGCATATAACAGTCATCAGCGTTCACATGCAAAGCAGCTGAACGTCACGTCTCCTCTGACCCGCTGTGTGTTCTGAGTCTGCTCACCGTGTCGACCTGTCTGAGCACCGTCCCCTCTCCGAAGAACAGCGGCTTCCTGGCGTCCACCAGAATCAGATCAAAGTAGGATTTCCAGGGTCGGTGTGAGGTCCCAGGCTGTAGTGGAAGCAAACACACACACACACACAAACACATTCAATCAATAGATCACACTTACAGTTTGTCTTTCAATAATGACTTTTTCAAAAACTATCAAGGAGAAAGTGGAAAAGAAATGTAAAGTGTACCTTTGGGCCATGGGGGAAGTCAAACAGGTAGGTCATGATTTTCTGTAGGAACAGAACATACAGAGTGTACACAGTCATGTTTGGATGTAATACATACATGTTGGTGCTGCAAACAGACGCTCATCATTCTTCAAAATGTAATTTCTAAATGCTGGTTTGACATTTTTCTCTTGGGAATTGAGGCCTCTGTGAGAAGTGCATGTCTGTACTCACGTCAGTGTATTTGTAGTCGCTGTTGGTTGCCAAGAAAACCTTGGCGACTTCATTCATTCGGCTGAGGAGAAGAGGCAGCTTCCCCTGGTGGGAACAGAGATGAAGAAAGGAAAGAAAAAGACTGAAGCTGTCAGCATCTTAACAAACTCGGCCTCTTCACAGAGCAAAGCAAGAATGTGGCACACTGTGAGTGTGTGTGTGTGTGTGTGTGTGTGTGTGTGTGTGTGTGTGTGTGTGTGTGTGTGTGTGTGTGTGTGTGTGTGTGTGTGTGTGTTTTCTCTGACAGTATACTTGTAGCATCCTTAATGAATACAAACTACTTACATCTCTCACTACATACTTCTCCAGGTTCTCGACGGTCTTCTCCTTCAAAGTACCCTGAAATGTAAGAAAGAGGAATCAGGCTAAACACTGGAAACGTGGATTGTGATGAACTGCTGTCCACTTGTACGTCATCTTCTCAAGTTAGAAATATAATAGCTCCTTTTAGTTCCTTTAAGTTTAGTCACAGTTCAGTAACAGTCATCAGTGACAGAGGACTTCTTGAGACAGCTGTGATAGCAAATCACGTTTTTTTTTTTTTCTATTAATAAATATTTTCAGCTCTTTGAAAAAGGATAAAAACTTCTCAAATGTTAGAGCAAAGAAGAAAATTAGAAAACATGAATTGCTCATGTTGTTTCACTCCCTTCCCTGTTTCCTCAGACTCACTGTATTTGAGATTTTTGTTTTTTTTGTATTCTCACTAATAACAATTTGCCATTCATGATGACGCAGCATTCAGAAACGTTTGCTCCACCACAGATGTTTTAAGTTGCTTTCTTACTGCAGAGCTGTTCTGAGTATCTTGGATACTAATAGCCCCAGAGGGCGACTATTTATGGCCTGGATGACTCTCTGACCCTCCGTCTATTACCACCATCTGGTTAACTTTCCCCCTGACAAGTTGATGTTGGCTGAATTTCAAAATGTGATACAGAGATTCATAGTCACCAGTACATAAATCCTAATGTGCCCCTCAACACTCCACCAGTTATTGAGTTTGTTGACATTGATGCATTTCTGCAAAAGGTTTCATTTTATTAAGCTAACATGAAAGATTTTTATATAACTGATGGAAGCTATATAACCAGACTGTCTTAAAAAAAAAAGGGAATCTGCTGCTGTATCACTTTGTAGTCATGTTAACAAGGTTTCAGCATACGTGTGCATGGATCGGAAAGTGAAAGGAGTTAAATCAGAGCTGTGTTAGGCATTGGCACCCAACTGTCCCAACCATCTAAAGTGTCTGACCTTGAAGTGGACCCAGTCGACGGCGTCGCGGATGTCCTGGAACATGCTTTTATAGGACATGAAGAGGTCGCCGTTTTTGAAGCCAGTTTCACAGCTGCAGGAGAGGAGCAGAGACAGACACGTACAGAGCCGTCGGACAGGACAGATCTTTACAGAAGGTTTTTAAAAACATGACATTTGTTTTTTGTTTGCTTTTAAATGGGATAGCCTTCCCTTGTTGGAGGGGTCCCCAGCCAAACAGGAAAGCATTCTCCCCCTAAAAGACCAACAACCAGGTTTCAGAGGACAAAGGACATGCAGCCATTCCAGATTACATCCTCAACAATTTTACAGGCCATTGTATCTTCTTACAGTAACATTTGAAAGAGGCTCTTATTGTCACATTACGATTTCATTCTCTGTAAATAATTAGTGGGAACATATTTCATTGCTATATCATTCTGATAAGAACTCATGCTTTTCTACAATTAGTGGAGAGATTAATAAATCCTTCATTTACAGAAAAAGGGTTCATTGACTGAATTGCCATGTGATTTTGATTTGAAAACAATTAGCTTCGATTAGCATTGAGACACCTGGACCCTCCCATGCTGTAGGGCTTCCTCTTAACCCAGTTTGGCTTGCAACTGTCTTTGTGTCACCATGCGGTGCCCAGAAACTTGTTGCATGACAAAGAGTGTAACCAACAGTTCCTTACCTTGTGTATCTATCACAGTTGGAGAAAAAGTCCACCAGGCAGGCAAAGAGGTAGGTCTCTGTGAGGGAGAACAGCGTAACAGGAAGAGGTCTTCATTAATAAAGTAACTTGACTCTAATAGTTTCTGTATGACCTTCCTCAGAAATTAATATTGCGCTTTCAGAATCAGGATCAAGCTCTTTCTTGCTCATTACATTTCTCTTTAAGCAGCACCATGGTATTATCCTCAGTGTTCAGAGACCTTACCTGGCAGGTTGAAGAGTGTGTTAAGGATATAAAAGCGCTCTGTGTCATCTCTCTGAATGAACTTGTTTGGATACCGTTCACGTATCTCAGGGCTGAGGAAGGAGAGCAAACAGAAATGAATCTGCATTCTTACTGCCTTCTCTTGTTTTCAGATATAAAGACTATCAGGAATAAAACATACAGAAGTTAATTTAAAGCATCATTTATAATCTGTATTAAAGGTCCATTCATCTTCAGGGGGAAAAGGTTGAAATCTCTTACCCTCGAAGGAAGTTGAACCCATGGACACACACCAGGATGTTGCCATAGGCGTCAACCTTCAACAGGTTTCCATACATGGTATCAAAGACAAGGCCCCTGAAAGTAAGAGGAAACTATCAATTAAATCTACAGATTGAATTACATTTTATATTTTCATCTTGATCACATCATGGAGCTTTTAAACTGCCCACGTGTGATATGATCCCAGTGACTTACAGGACAAAGTTATTAGATGTCCAATAGTCCCACTGAAGTATCCTCAGTGCTTGTGTGTGTGTGTGTGTGTGTGTGTGTGTGTGTGTGTGTGTGTGTGTGTGTGTGTGTGTGTGTGTGTGTGTGTGTGTGGTGTTATTGCTCTCACCTGGTGGGAAAGGATGGGTCGTATACAAAGCTCAGTAGTTCCTGGGGGTAACCGATGTAAACCAGCCGCTCCACTGTGAGCTCAAAACCAAGTGACTCGTATTCTGGTGACTTGTACACTGGAGATAAAAAAAAAAAAGCAAACATGTACCACATGTTTACTAAAAGTTTTTTTTCTTTTTTACACTGAGAACCACAATACAGAAAGTGCCATGGTGCATTTTAGTGTCTTATTGTTTATTAGTAGCCACAGATTCATGTGTCGACATTTGGTTAGAGGTAAATAGTAAATGGACGTGAGCTTGTATAGTTCTTTTATAGTCTTCTGATTACTCAAAGCACTTTTACACTGCAGGTCACACCTACACATTCACACACTGATGGTAGAGGCTTCTATGTAAAGAGTCCATCAGTATTAACTAATCTCATTCATACACATTCACACGCCGTAGACGAAGCAGTGGGAGCAACTGGGGTTAAGTGTCTTGCCGCCCGAGGACACATTGAACATTTGGCTGCAGGAGCTGGGGATTGAACCCCCCGCCCGACTCTACTAACTGAGCCACATTTGCCAATTGCCCCGTGGATACAGCTGTATGTCTTATCTCTATGCTTACATATTCCTGAACATGTGAAGGTACTGCTTTTTAAACAATGATATCAAGTCTTGAATCCAATCTTTCTTTTAATGGTCACATCCATTACTCTCGTTGGCAGCGTGACTAATAGCCCACATAGATAAATCAGAATTAGTTTCAGTTTGTTTCATAACCAGCTTGAAACTCCTCACTGGAGCTCTAATCATTGTTATTAAAAAAACAACATTAAAAGGGATACTTCACATATTTGCATTAAGCTTTGTATCATTAGAAACCTGGTAGTATTTTTGAATGGTCGTGCATCCCGTCCTCATTTTCCCCTGAGACAGGACATCTCTGTATTTCTTTTCTGAAAAGGAGCCTCCGATGACACGAAAATCGTCATTTTGTGAAAAAATGATAAAAGTATGTTTCAACTTCAAACTGATATGGATGAAGGAGATTTTGAAGGTCTTGTGCTCGAAACGTTTGTTCGTGGCGAGGCCGGAGCCGGCTTGAGCTGGGGCGGTGCCGTGCATTCTGTGAGTTGTTGTCTTTTATCCACATGACCCAAAAGGACACTTTCTGCCTTTTCTCGGTCAAGAAGGCACCAACTTCAAAATTGATTTCATATTTCTACAACATATATGACCCAATGTCAATACAGATTCATGTTTCAACCGGTGAAGAATCCCTTTAAGCTGGCCTCAGGGTGCTGGATAGCCAAGCGGTTATGATGCACACCCCCTTTACTGAGGCAATAGTCCTCATTGTAGCAGCCTTGGGTTCGAATCCGACCTCTGCCTTTGCTGCATGTTATCCCCTACTCTCTCCTCCCAACACTTCCTGTCTCACTTCAGCTGTCCTATCCAATAAAGGCAAAAATGCCCCAAAATAATATGCTGGCCTATTGTTAGTTAATAATGTATCTATATATTTATGACACAATAAATCAAACCATGGCAACATGACAAACTACATGTGTTTGGGTTTTAAAAAGGATTCCACAGAGACACATAATCAAAGAATTGACCTTCTTTAAAGCAGGTATTGAACAGACAGGAGAGCAGGTACAGTCCATGGCTTACATGTAACATTTACATAAACACTCTTGTTTGTGGACAGTTTGGGAACCTGAGCTGTGAGTGAAGCTGTGATTACAGAGCAAACATCAGAGGTGACATACAGTAAGGGGAGCCCGCTAATGTTACGCAACATGTAAATGTGACCTCGCTAAGGTTACCGTATCTGTTTGATAGTCTGTTGTGCTAGCTCATTATTTTGATAACAACACCACCACCTCCTCCCCTGATACACTGCCCTTTTCTCTCCCTGCCTTGATGTTCCACAAGTAAATCCAATAAGAAACAGGATCAGGCGTGAGAATGACAAATCACTCAACTTTTGACAGCAGCTCTGATGAGCCCCTGCCCTGTTACCATCAGATATGTAGCCCCAGGCCAAAGCTAAACCAAGCAGGAGAGGGCTCTGAAAATAAAAACATAGGTTGATGCCGGGCTAAGAAAAGGCTGGCAGGGGATTCAAATGCTATGTGACACTGGGAAAAGAATATGTCAGACGTTATAAATACGAAACAGAGAATGCACTTGTGTTGTTGCCTGCTTTCTACACTCTCTGTGGAGGAGTTCAAGGCCCCAGGAGGGGAAGAAATACTGGCTGATGATGTTTGGATAGAGGACAGTTAGCGGGGGAACAGCACCAAAGGACAAACAGGAAAACATCTGTGTCCTATTCTGCAAAATGTGGGAGCGTGAGTCTAATGCTGGGTTACACACAGAAGCATAATGAGTGTGCACTGAGCTACACCAAAATGGGTTCAGAAATAGCTTGTTTCTTTTTTTTGACACCCCTATTCTGTAAGCAAGAGCCTGTTTCTGCATTAACATCACGTAACCTTCAATGGCTCCCTGCCGCTGTGGTCTCCAGGCAATATGACGGTTCGGGCTCTCTGCCCAGAGCAGCAGTGTACAGCACATAAATTGCCTTTTTCTTTTTCTCCTCCTTTTTCTCCTCCTCCTCCCCCCCCCCCCCCTCCTTTTCCCTCATTTGTCAACCTCTGTCACCTCTGCTATCATCACTCTCTCTTTCTTAACTTCAATGGGCGGCTATTTTCACGTGTTGACCTTGGGACAGTGGCGTGTTACCACCCACACAACTTAAAATAAAACCACTATCACATGCCTCAGTGTAGAAACTTACTGTGCTGAACTGAAAAGATATGCAGGTAGGTCTACTAGTCATGGAAAAAATCTGAAAGGTATTCAACTACAACATAATACTAAATAGTTTCAGTTTTGAGTTGTCATTAACATCAGCCCAAAGCTTAACAAACTTCTCTTAAGAACGGCTTTTAAATACAAAATGTTACTAAATCTGATTGGTGTACAGTAATGCATGACATCACAGTTTTGAGCCCCGCCCACTTCTGAACAACAAGAACTGAACATCTTGCACGAAACAAAACCTCATTAACATAACATCAAATGACTTGAATTGTGTTTTGTTTTGATTTGATTTTTGTTTTATGGCGTCTTTAATTAAACGGAAACCGTTCCACTTCTGAACAATTTGAACAACAAGCCCCTCTTGAAAACACTCTCCAGACACATGACACTCATGGCCTATATGTTTTCCTTGTCAGAAGTAATTCAAGACACTGGTCACTATTTGACATGTTTCGAGGCTTGAGCAGCAGTCTGTAGAGTTTTCTGGAGATCCATTCTTTCCACTGAAGCCCCACCAGAAACTTCAGTCATGTTAAGTTGAATATGTTCATAACTGAGGCATCCGCTTACAAACAGAGGTTCTTGAAAATTTGCGTTAGCAGAACGGAAGTTGTGTTCTTGTTGTTCACAGCGTCCTTGACTCTCTTGCAATACTTCTTCATAGGGGTCCTTGCTCCCCTGCTGTAAGCCCCTTCTCATGTGTCTCACACAGTGGGTATGCACATGTACACACGTAGAAACCCACATTTAACCGTTTACTTAGATGAGAGGCGAGAGGTGGACTTTCCTTAAAGGATCCATTACTTTGGATCTCTGATGAGGTTGTCAGCAGTTCATTACACAACTGCTGCATCCCCAGCTGAAGTGTGTGTGTCTCCTGAGTTCATAGGCCGGGTCACCTCGGGCCTACATGTAACATACACCTCTCACATCCAAGAAAAACAACCGCACTCTTCTACGAATAGACCATTAAATCCAAATCACATTAAGTTAAGTTTCCAACACAAGGACTTTATCTGAACCATGTCAGATAGCAACCTACATTAATGTGTCTGTAACAACTAATACGCTAATGTAGGTCTTTGTCACAGATTCATGACATGATCATACGTATGATGGAAAAATGAGGAGACTCACCCACAGCCTCAGGGCCCCACATTCCAGCCAAAAGTCTGGTGGAAACTAGGACAACTCTGTGTGTATCTCTCTATGCAACCTGGGCCTATATGCGTTATTATGTGTTCCCATGCGGAGCACAAAGAACAGATGAGGCAATGTTGTCACACGTTATACTGGTTTAGTTTACAAAGTCTTGCAGAATATTTCAAAACATGCCCGACCTAATTCTGAAGAAATGCACAGGCTCACCGACACGAAAAAGTTGGCACACTGATTAAAATATAAATAAAACAGAAGGTGGAGATTGGCAAAACATTAAAACACTAAACTTAATTAAACATAGCGCAAAGACAACATGTCAAATGATTAAACTCAATATGAATTTGATGCTGACAAACTTATTCAAACAAGTTGGTACAGAAGCGACAAAAGGCTGTTTAAGTTGTGCAATCTGATGAAACAGCACATACTTAATGATTCATTAACCGACAACAGGTTAGTTACATGATCGTGTTTAAAAAGAGCATCTCTGAAGAAATGGGAAAGGGGTTCACCACTCTGATTGCCCTGCGCAACAACTCATGAATCTGTGCATTTCATTACTTACGCTACAAAATGTCATTAAAACATTCAGAGAATCTGAAGAAATCTCTTTATGCTGGGGACAAGAACAATAACCAATAATGGGTGGCTGTGATCTTTGGACCCTCAGGCGACCCTGCATTAAAAATCACTTCATGGGCTCAGGAACACTTTCAACAACCATAGTCTGTGAACGCAGTTCAATACTGCATCAATGCTAACTCATACTTTACCATGTAAAGAGGAAATTAGAAACCAAATCCCAGAATCCTCTCTCAGTCTGTGTTTATTTAAAATGGACTGAGTCAAGTGGAAAACTGTCCTGTCCTTTAGTCTTTGTGCTAAAGAGGAGAGGGAGCATCAGGCTGGTTAATGGTATGGGGGGTGCATTAGTGGCAAGGGTAGCATGACAATTTGTGAAGGCTCCATTAATGCTATCAGTGTTAATGCAATTTCTACCCTGCTGCTGCTTATTTATTCATCAATTTATAAAACTAAAATTAAAGAAAAAATAAAGTCTGAGTCAAAACTGCTGGTTATTTCTTATTTTGCTCATTTCAAAGATGTCATTGACCTTCAGGAGGTGGTGTGTAGCCCCAAAGGTAGGAGTGCACAGGTTGAGGTGTGTGAACGGTGTGAACCCTGAAGGCACTCACATACCTGTGTGACCCAGGATCAGTTTGTGTCTGTGGGACTACAACCCAGTTGTATTACTGTCTCTGTCTCTCAGAAAGACCATGGCAGTCGGATGAAGCCAGGCTTCCACTGGACTAGCGCAAAATCCAGCAAGGCCAGGGTTGTGTGGAGGCGTACTAAAAGTGTTATGACACAATCAAGAAAATAACACTTTACTTTTCTGATTCTGTGTTATGTTCTCGCCAATGACTCTCCCTCTATTCAAACACTTTCACTGTTGGTATTTCTCCCACTGGGTTAGCATGGGACAGAACAGGTTTGCGAGTATCAGGGCAGGGTATTGGATTATCCTGTGGATAATGGCCATGCTTTCACATTATTTTGATGCAGCCAGATGAGGCTTAAACACGTCATCAGCTTCCTTTGAATGAATTGGTGCCAACTCAGTGTGTTAAACAAGAAGCAGATATATAAGGTAACTGAGTTAAAGCTAACATGCACTATTTAATTTCTGTTATTGCTTTCACTTCATATTGTTATTACAAATACTGATCAATGTTATCACACAACTCATATTCTTATCCTTATGCAGGCCTCATACTGTAACAAACTTCAACTGACAAATACTCATTCTGCCTTTCCCTTCTTTTGACCAATAGGATTTTTTTTCTTATTTAGAACAGAGTAACTATGTGGGTTAGACCTTGCTAAATATCCTTTATCATAGTTTTGTCAAACCTAACATAATTCCTCTTTTTGAAAAGTACCTGAAACTCTTTGAACATATGAACTGGCTTTAACCCCATCCAAAAACAAACACTGCAGTGGGCCAGGGTGCTGCGGTTCACCAGCAGCCTTTCTGTCACACCAACATCAGAGTTGATGAAGTCTGTCTGTGGTCAAAACCTGAACACCCTCCAAGAAATACTTGATAGCCATGCTAGTAAACATTAGCACTTGGTTATGAGCTCCCATAAAGAGTCATGTCAACAGCTGAGCGTCTGTAAAATCCCCTGCACTCAGAACAGGGATAGAGGTACAGAGCCAGACAGGGACTACGAGTGATCCCCGTTCTTAAGGGAGCCATCACTGGTGAACTCAACAAACAAACCTGACCTGTTTTCAGAGTCAGGGAGGGTGTGTTTATAGAGACGAGAGACCAAAAACTGGAGCTGAGTCATAGAAAAAGTTGCATAAAAAAAAGAAAAACAGGATATTTTTGGCCTAGTTACTGGTCAGTAGAACCTCCATACAGTCGACTTTGTTGGGAGCTACACTTTATGTTGTGTGATCAAAGTGTTTGGTGTGCTAAATATGTCACTGACTTTGACCTAAATAGTACTTTGTGGACAACAAACTGCAGTTCGGGGGGGGGAGGGGGAATGGTAAAGTAGCTAAATGTAGAGTTAAAAGTAGAGAGTTCTGCAGAAGCCGAAATCTACACAAAACACAGAATGATGAAGGAGATTAAACAACTAGGGATTCATTTAAGATTAAAAGGTGACAAATAATACGACCCAATGGCTCAGTGGTAGAGGAAGACCGGGGGGTTGGATCCCCAGCTAACAACTTGAGCAAGACACTCTCCAACTTGCTCCCGTGGCTTTGTCTGCGGCGGATGAATTAGTTAATACTAATGGACACTTCACATTTAGAGCAACCACTGCCATCAGTGTGTGCATGGGTGTGAATGTGTAGGTGTGACCTGCGATGTAAAAGCAGGAAAAATACAGACATACTCCCTCAAAATCCAAATTTTTCCACACTATCAGTTAAAATGTTTTTGATGGAATTCAGAATAAAAATAGTTTTATAGGTGAAATCTAAGTGTCATCCATCTAAACTTCTCTGGCCAACGATCTATACCTATAAACTCCTCAAAAGAAAGTTTTGAAACATTCATGTGGTCAATTATTTTGCCCCTTTAATAATAATAATAATTGGTGGTGCAGTGGTTAGTGCGTCATTCCCCACTCTATCTACTGTCCTATCTCTCCATTAATGGCACAAAAATCCCCAAAATAAATCTTTTAAAAACAATAATGATAATTGGTTTTGTATTTTATATCGTTGGAAAGCCTGATTATTCACATTTACAACGAGGTATCGTGCATTTGTGGAATGAGCAACACAGCTAAACGTGTGGGTAGCGCCCAAATTTATTTTGCCAAAGTCCCCTGCAATATTATTCTGTTATACCTCGTTGTAATGGTGACCAATCAGGCTTTCCAACGACATATAATACAACACCAATTTTTTTTTTTTTGGGGGGGGGGGGAGTTTACTTTAAGTTTTTATGAAATAAAAGATCAAATTAATGATAAAGCAACTGTTTAGCTGCAGCACTGGGGGGGTGATAAATCAAATGTGTGTTCAGCTTACCTGCTAGAGTGTAATCCATATCGAAGCCAAAGCACTTAATCTTCTCCATCGCCAAGCTTCTGTTGACAAACACTCTATAGAGGAAATAAGTAGAGGTACAGGTTTCAGTTTCTACGCAGTATTCAACAATAACATAAGCATGAGTTCATTCATTCAGGAATGATGTAGCTAATTCAGAAAAATAGCAGATTTTTCATTTTTATTAGTAAATCTTATACGGGAGCAATCACTTCCGTAATTCTCTCTATAGAATAGATTTTTCTGTTACTGAACAGACACATCTATAACCCATTTTAGGAGGCTGTAATAGGTCTATTCAGTATCCATAAAAAGTGGTTTCTGTAAAATTACAATGACTGACAACTCAGCAAGTTTGTTTTACCCACAATCAAATACTCAATGAACTTTAACGCATAGCATGTAAATTCATGCTGTGTCGCCAGGGGGCTCTCAATCAAAACAATAACAAAAGATGACTTCAAGGCTGACGGGGAATCATTAGAGTGATTTTCTCTGCTAATATAAAATTAAGGATTACTTTGGCTTTGACAAGTGTTGGAAATTTTTGAGCTAATGGAAGTACTCAACAGAAAAGTATTTATAACGTAGGTTTAGTATATTCTTAATTTATTTCAATATTTCTTTTAGTGTAAGAATTCTAAATATTACACCTTTAAGGGAAAGAAAGGGAGAAATAAAAGCATGACATTTTGGCCTGCCTTGCTATTAGAGTAATGAGTTTTATTTGATTAAAGCGACTCAGAGAAACACCCTTTATCAAGAAAAATCAAACACAGACATGTGTTGTTAAAAACCTGTCTGCAGTTTGCTTTATGTTTCAAGACCATGAACTAAATTCAGATAACATAACCAGCCCAAGATTTGAAAAATTATAATTTACAAGTTTTAGTCTCCACTAAAGACCCTGCCATGATGATCCATTTTCCTTCACATGTATCGGTGACTGAACGTGATTGAGTGCTTGTTTACCTTAAAGGTACAGTAGGAGTGTTTTTAAGACCATTTTATTTCTTGATTTCATTTTTCAGAGTTTGGTTGAAATCTGTGATAACTAATAATAATAAAAGTAATTCTCTTTAACGGCACCTGTGTCCAAAGTGTCCAAAGTGAAATTGAAACATATTACAACTAAGATCATGGTTATTGATATTATCTGAAAATACTGGAACACAAACACAGTAAAACGCTGAATATCACAAACAATAATGTTACTTTTTACATCAAAGTACAAAAGCAGTCACTTTCTAAAGAAAACGTTAAATTCGAATTAAACGGTCATGGTTACTTGGGGTGGGAATCACCAAAGGCCCCATGATACGATATTATCACGATACTTGAGTCGTGATACGATCCACAAGATTAAACTAAATCAAGAACTTTTTATTCCAATAAGAAAACATTCTCAGTCTATTCATCTCACTTCAGTCTGTTTATTTCTACACAACCGGAGTCCAGCCCACAAGTCAAACCCTGTAAAATGCTGCATGCACCTCACAATCTGAACTGTGTGCAACCTCTCCAGCAATTAAAAACAAAAAAGCACATTTGCTATTAATTTAATAAAAATATCAATACTTGGCAGCCATGAGACAATATAATAACGCCACACAAAATATCCCGATACTATGCTGTATCTATTTTCCCTCCCACCTCTAATGGTTACACAATAGTGCCACATTGGACTGGAGGTATTTAACAGAAATGTATTAAGTTATTATAAAGTAAAACAACCAGATTAGCCTCATAGCTGGTGAGACTACAGGAAGTGACACAAAACTCCAAAGCTGAGTGCAGTAAAACCCCTAGGACTAAATTCTGGAGACAAATCTTCCAGGAAACAGATCAACTGTGCTGACTCATAAATCAGTCTGTAGTCAGGGGGTCCACGGTGCCCACAGTGATAGATAGTGTTTACATAGCCTGGCTGACACAGCTTCCATAGAGCAGACACACACACACACACTGCTAGCTTAACTGTGACTGCTGGCACAGACCTACTGAGCTAATCTCCAACATCAGAGACTCAACTCCATATGTAGCTGTGTTCACGAACATTTACACACGAGTCAATATTCATCATGCTTGAAGTAAGATGTAAATAAACCAAAGTGAAATCAAAAATGTGTCAGTGGAATAAAAACAACAGAACATCAGTCTATAATAGCAAAATAATGTGATACACAAACTCAGAAGTGACAGCTAATCTTGTCATTAATCTGTGACCTCGGCATCCTCACTAATGTTTTAATCAGTTGGGAATTACCTGGCAGCAGATCCATAGTGGACAAGTTCCCATTTAGATCTTAGTCCAACGGACGACTGGCGATGCATTCTGTCCGAAATTAAATCTCAGTTTGACTCTGATCAGCTCCGGCAGCAAAGGGCAGCTGTGGCCCACAAACAATGCCCCCACCTCTCTCTCTCTTTGCTTTCTTGCCATTCAGACATTTTCTGACTTGTTGCAAAAATGATTGTGGCTATTCCGCGTCATTCTCTGTTGTTGTGCGCTGTCAGTCACGGTTGTTGTTGTGCAACATGATGTTTGCGGGCCCTCAAAGACATCCAGAACAATCACAAGTCAGGTAGAATCAAGCAAGCCCCGGCCCCCCCAGCGACAGCTGCTTACCATACTGAGATTTGGATCCATGTAAACACTTACAGGATGGGTTTACTGAGCAGATTTGACTCATTTTAGATAACACATGGACAAATCTTATTGAAGCGTCAATGTTCTAATCTATCACATCTCTATCACTTGTAAATTGTTTTAATGGTATTCATTTTAGAAGAACCTTTACATTACCAGGGGAAGGTTTGAGGTACCTATTTAGATAAGGTCAAATGTTTGAGGGACATTGCTTGGATTGACTCAATTCATACAAAAGGAAATCTCACAAGTAGATTGAAATAATTGGTGTTAAATTTTCAGGCTAGCAAGAATCAGCAAGCAATTAGGCACAGAAAAGAATCTAAATTTATCAGTGAGTCATATGACCAAAGACAAACAAGTTCAGAAGTCGGACTTAAATCCCGAAACTTGGATTTTCTAAACTTTTTTTAAAAAAGTACTTTAATTCTAAAGTTGGCCCAACACTACCATTATTTACCATGGTAATTAAATGTAAATAAGTAGTGTTCAGTCATGGTTAAAGATATTGAGGGGGTTATAAAATCCAAATAATCATGACCTGATTCTGTTTCCATTCAGACTTGTCTAAAGCCATCACAACAAAGGTACTACTTCATTGTCAGTGAAGCAGGGTGAAGCTTAGCCTTTCCCAGCACAGGATTAGAATTTAAGTCTTTTGTGTGATTTGTTGTTGCTGTTTTCATTTCCCATGTGATTCATTATCCAACCCCTGTGGGTAAGGTGAAGTAAAAGTCACCCACTGATGCTTCTCCTAATCACCTGTATTGACAATGGGTGTGACTTGTTTACCCGTGTTCATGGAGTCAGCCTCAACTTTGGTCCTTCTGACAGCAACACTAATGCTTCAAATAGCTCACATAGGACGCACCACACCAAGAAGAGAAATCCCAGCTGTGCGACAATCTGCCAGATTTGTTCCACTGCTCTCTAATCTCCTGAAGACAGTGATTCCACTCCATGTGATAGAAAGTTTATCTGTGCCGGCCAGAGTCCTCAGCCCTCTGCTATGTGATACACAGCTCACTATCAGGCTGCATTGCTCAAGCCTCCCTCTTACTTTGAAGGAAAGGTCTTTTGTCACAAAAGGTCACCTTCAATAGCGTCCTACATTTAAAAAAAAAAGCTGCAGCCGTGAAAACTGCCACAAGTATCTTTGTGTTCTTTGCATAGATGCTTGATGGCATGTATCTTTCTGGAGGGGGTGGGAGGTATAGGGAGTATAGGGGACTGGGTGACTTATGTCAGCACATTACACACAGCTAACAGATGAGAGACAGCTTCATAAACCCTGTGAGCATTGCACATTACATAAGGGTGTAAAAGAACAGCAGTACCCGGTGGAAACACATGTCCAAGGCTTAGTTAAACATTTAACTTTTATTGCTCAGACATGTAATTAGTCCCACCTAACATGAGCCTCTCAGTCAGGAAGCCTACAGGATGATTCAAGAAACAAGGGTGGGTAACTTTTTGTAAGACCTGCCTTTTGTGTCCAAAACAGATTTGATCAATACAAAATAAAAGACATTTAGAGGGCATCGGTTTGGCTTCTAAGCTGATTACAATCTTTGGATTCAAGCAAAGATATTATATATTCTATATATAATATTCTTATTTTAGTCATAGTGGCTGAATCTCATTCAGATTATTTGGATGTTTATCATTAACAACAGTAGACTTTTTAAATTCAAGTATCCAACCAATAAAATAACTTTTAGAACGTTAAAGATGTCCTTTAGAAAATTAATTATAGCAAGTTTAAAAGTATAACAATGCTGCTTAAATGTCTGAAAGGTGCATTCATTTATTGAGTTAAGTTTTTATTTCTAATTTGAACTGCAATAGAGTTCACATTTTGTTTCCAAGCTTTTAAAGACATTTTAAAAACTTCTTTAAATCTAGCTTTAAAAACTTGCTACATGTAAAGAGTGACAAGAAAGTGTTGAGGTAATGAGGTGTGTCAGGTGTCTGTAGAAATACTGTCACTAAGACTGCAGAATCAGATGCTGCGGATGACACATCACACTTTCTCTCATGATTATCTCAAACTGTCAGGGTGTAACACTTAGTATTAAAGGTACAGCAGTACCCGGTGGAAACACATGTCCAAGGCTTAGTTAAACATTTAACTTTTATTGCTCAGACATGTAATTAGTCCCACCTAACATGAGCCTCTCAGTCAGGAAGCCTACAGGATGATTCAAGAAACAAGGGTGGGTAACTTTTTGTAAGACCTGCCTTTTGTGTCCAAAACAGATTTGATCGATACAAAAAAAAGACATTTAGAGGGCATCGGTTTGGCTTCTAAGCTGATTACAATTTTTGGATTCAAGCATTCACTCCAAGGACCTCTTACAGCCTGGTGACATGTAGTGAAACAGAGAGGAATTTTTCATTACAGCCTTAAAACCCCACCCAAGACACAGACAAATAGATGCTAAATCTGTTTGTAGACCAGGTTAAAGATCACAAACGTATGAGACATTGCCAAGTCATTGGGCTGCGTCACCTCATGGGAGGAAGTTTGAGATGTGAGTAAATAAATAAACAACAAATTCTATCGTACAATAGGGTTTTCATAATAGCTGAATTTTGATGCAAAACTCGTAAAATGTGAGAATATTAATACCTGTTTCATGAGACACCACTTCCAAGGCATCATAGGGTCTTTTCTTTTTTTTTCCAAAAGCTGAAAGAAAACTCCAGCACACTGTCTAAAATGAACAAATACATTAGCAACACTTTGGTACCGAAATGTATTCGAATTTTGTGCATTTTAGACAGGGTCTCTTCCTCTGTGGTCTGTTTGTAATCATGACTTGTGTGTCTTTAAGAAACACAAAAATAACTCGAGAAACATCCACATTTTCCAACTTGTGATTTTGAATGGACCACCACTGCTCTCCCACTCACTTTGGAATATGATGGAAAATCTGTAGTTGTTTTTAAAAGCTTGAGCGCTTTCTGATATTATCGACCATCAAAAAATGGAGGTCACATCATTTTAAAACAGGTGGTATCAAAAAGTATCAAAGTATCAACAGTTTTGACCGTATTGTAGAAAACCTGAACTGTTAATGATTATGAAGTGCCTCACTTATAAAGGGACTGTAATCACAGGTCACTATTGTCCAAGTAAAGATCAGTAAATACAGAGACAGGTCAATACAACAGTCTATTTACACCTAATGGTCAAGTTCAGGGGCAGCGTATGGGAGAGAAAATATAGGGTGATTCCAAAGGACCATGACTGACAGGGACTCTAAAAAATTATATTAGAGCATAAATGAAACCTATTAACATAGAATACCACAGTGTGCTCACAACAATTACAGTTTCATTGTGTTTACTTGTTTTTTGTGCAAAAAAAAAGGAGCATACAGCCTCAGTATTGTTTATATGTATTTTGAAAACAGTTTTTAATGTCAGGTGAGAGACACTATCCAGTGTTAAAGAAGAAAGGTTAACTAAGAGATAAACTACTATATTCTTATTTTAGTCATAGTGGCTGAATCTCATTCAGATTATTTGGATGTTTATCATTAACAACAGTAGACTTTTTAAATTCAAGTATCCAACCAATAAAATAACTTTTAGAACGTTAACCCTAACCCTTAGTTAAACATTTAACTTTTATTGCTCAGACATGTAATTAGTCCCACCTAACATGAGCCTCTCAGTCAGGAAGCCTACAGGATGATTCAAGAAACAAGGGTGGGTAACTTTTTGTAAGACCTGCCTTTTGTGTCCAAAACAGATTTGATCAATACAAAATAAAAGACATTTAGAGGGCATCGGTTTGGCTTCTAAGCTGATTACAATCTTTGGATTCAAGCAAAGATATTATATATTCTATATATAATATTCTTATTTTAGTCATAGTGGCTGAATCTCATTCAGATTATTTGGATGTTTATCATTAACAACAGTAGACTTTTTAAATTCAAGTATCCAACCAATAAAATAACTTTTAGAACGTTAAAGATGTCCTTTAGAAAATTAATTATAGCAAGTTTAAAAGTATAACAATGGTTTAAATGTCTGAAAGGTGCATTCATTTATTGAGTTAAGTTTTTATTTCTAATTTGAACTGCAATAGAGTTCATATTTTGTTTCCAAGCTTTTAAAGACATTTTAAAAACTTCTTTAAATCTAGCTTTAAAAACTTGCTACATGTAAAGAGTGACAAGAAAGTGTTGAGGTAATGAGGTGTGTCAGGTGTCTGTAGAAATACTGTCACTAAGACTGCAGAATCAGATGCTGCGGATGACACATCACACTTTCTCTCATGATTATCTCAAACTGTCAGGGTGTAACACTTAGTATTAAAGGTTTATTGGCGCTTTGTTTAATCGAGGTGTGGTTATTATAGATATTCTATTTAGATATAGATATTCAGGGGTTAGTTGGGGCCCGATGTTATATCTGATGGGGCCCGGAAGGATCCCGTGGTCAAGTTATATCATTAAGACTGATTACTGTTTTAATGAACATAAAGAAGTGACACAGTGAAAAGAAAATCTAAAGTTTAGCTCAGAAGAATCTGCTCTAATGCTGCTTTAAATCTAAGCAATGAGTCTCATTATTGATTTGATGTCATCTGAGTGAAACTCAACAGTTCATGCCTCTGTTCCACAGTAAATAGCATGTCGGTGCAAAGGGCCTCATAAAGATAACTCATTCTTAGAAATCAGCTGCAGCTCCACTTTAAATATTGTCACAGTGAATTAAACACACTGATGGAAAAATGGTGTGACATATGTTTCATATTCACTACTGAGTTATACATTATATAGAAAAGTGAGCAGAAAATCCTCTTCCTCTTTCTGTAACTGCTCAGTGTTAGGTTGGATTAATGATTAGGAGGCCGCACAGGGAAGAGGACTCCACTGATTCATTAAAGGCAGTATAGACTCCACAGCCTTATGGTTACTTTGGTTATTTTGATCCTTCATTAAAAATCAGTTGAGTGGAAGTTTAAGTAGATGGTGAACAGATCGAGCAGCATGAAAAATACTACTAGTCAAATTTCGTTCTTACATCTGGAGCTTCGATAAACTCAAAATCTCTGAATCATTGACTCCAGCATTATAAAGAATTAAGGCTTTTATTTAGGGGTTATTCACCTTAATGGCAGATATATGTTAAACTCTTATTGTGTTCTTTGTCCCTACAATGGAAGAAAGTTTTGACATCTGAAATCTATTTCTTCTAATGAAAAGGTTTTTACATGTGTGGCATTTGTTGTATTACAAAGATATTATTAAACTTTCTTGTTACAACCATTTTTGTGTCCAAAGCCTTTGTTGTTGTAACTTCAGAGTCTTGGTTGCGATATCAGTAGTTACATTTCACAGAAATGTATGTTTAAGTTACGATAGAGGGGGGAATTATTTTGTCTGACTGCTCAGTTTACATCATAAAAGGCTCAAGGAGTTCCATCTGGAAGTAGTTTTACACAATCAGAAACGCACATAGTACCTCCACATGTCTCTCTTACCTGTGGTACGCCTCTCTTCTGTATTTCTTCATGGACAGGCCGTCCATGTTGGCAGGCAAATCTGCATAGTTCTGCAGTCTGTCACTCCATGAAGTTGTCATGTTTAAAAGCTTTTTAAAATCTGAGGAGAATAAAAGAAATACATCACGATGGTGGGCGTGAAAATGTAGAATTAAAGAACTTAATGCTCTCCTTAAAAAAACATCAACAGAGACCAGCAGGATCAGTGTGTTTAAACTGCTTCTTTTTTTTTTTTTTTTTTTAAATATGTTTGTGCAGTGATACTAAGGAGCTATGAACTATTTAGTAACTACAGTTGAATCTTTATCGATGAGGGGCTTTCCTGTGGTGCTAACAAACAGAGGACTGATGGGTGAGCTTATGACAGGGCAGGAGACACATCAGGTCAGATCAGTGGGGTCACTGTGCTCAATTATGAGAATGAAAAATTGTTGAGAGCCAACCTAGTTCGTCTAATGGAGCATGTTATGGTTTAACAGCTTAGCAAAAAGTCCTCCAATCATCATGACAAAGTTGAAGTCAGGCAAAAAAAATGCAAGACTGAATCTTCTTTACACGGGTTCTACTAGTAGGCTAAATGTGTTGGCAGTAGTTACATATCATTTTTGGTTAATAAAAGGCTAACAAGCTAAGACAGAAGAAGAAAGTGCCTAATGAATCTCAGCTTTTAAGCCTAATCTTGCCCTTTTCTGGAATGGCCAGAGGTGTTTTTATTTCTCCTGTTGACACTGGAGAGGCTGGACTGCAGGAAGGAAACACAGGAGGTCAGCTTTCTCCTTCTTCTCCTTCTTCTTCTGCCAGCACAAAATGCAAAGGAGCCTCGAATAAGGGGGACGAGGTGAACTGTCATCAGGGCCACTAACACTGCAGCAGACCACCAAAACAACACAATCAATGTTGAGTGAGCAGCTCAACGGGAGATCATGACACAAAAGCTTCAACGTATTTGTTTTTCACATCGTCCAGTGTTTCATTAAAACGTGAACGCCGAATAAAACCTGGTTTTCAGTTCTGATCTGAAGCATGTTTTTTTTTTTTAAAATCTTCAGCCTTTGTGACACCATCATCCATAATGTGAGGGGTCCAGCGGGGTCTGAGGGGAGCTCTGGCTTGGGACGAAGCAGTAAGCAAACCTACAAGACTGCCCTGCACCCAGCAAGAGAAACAAGACAACTTGTTACAGGCTTTGTTGCCTCAGGTTAGAGAGAAGAAAGGCTCGACGTTCATGGCAACAAAAGCTGCACGTAACGTTAGCTGTCGCCCTTTTTTCGGAAGCCACTGGTTTGTTGGATTACTTCACATATTACCGTGTTTGTCCCTCGAAACCACCGATGTAAACAGAGACGAGCTAATGTTGACGTGTCTTTTACAAGCTAACGTTGTTTCTGCAGGATTCAAATCGACGTCTTGGTATTTTGCTAAACTATGTGAGCTAGCTCAACTCAAACAACCTCGGTCCTGCTCTTTTATTTCACACACAGGGAACATAAGAAGTGCTCGGGGCGAGGCTAACACCTTAGCTGGCGTTGATTCAAAAACAAAAGCCTCCAAAGTACGAAGGCAGATTTCCCCTGCTCGTCTCTGTGACAGTCGTTCCTGTACTCACCTCTCAGTTCCTGAATCAAACTGCTGCACTGTCAGGTAGTCTGAGCATGCGCCGTGAGTCGTGTCAAAGTCGGAGGAGTCGCTCGTGTAATTTCCGACAGAAAGCAGCAGTGATGTCTACACTGTACACGGCCAAGCAGCAGATGAGTGTTCCTGCTCCGCTTGCTCTTTGCTATCTCTCCCTTTCTGCTGCCAGCTGTTGTTATGAGACGGCGGCGGCGGTGGGGGGCGGGGCTTAATCCTGTCTATCAAAAGGGGGCGGGGCTAACCGTCGTCGTGGCACAGAGTGACACGTGACGCCACAGCCCTGCATCTTCTTACAGCGAAACCCGAGATGATTTGCATCTAATTATCTTAAAGCAAAGATTAATCTGCCCTTTTGTGAATTTAAGTACTGGCGAGACAGTCGCAGTGATCTACTCATGTTAAAATACAATAATTGGGCTGAAACCAATCAAAGAAACCTAAACTAACTAAAATGTACTAAATGAATCATTTAAAACGGGCCTGTAGTGAAAAAGAGGACAGGTGGAAATAGGAAATGTGGAAAATGAAAGGTTTCCAAACAATATAAAGATAAGCTGTCTAATGACTAAAACTTATTGGGGCCAAAACATTTCCTCTTGGTGATTAATATCTTGAGATTTTCTTCAAATGCTTATTTCCTCCATGGTCGTCCTCTTCTCCTTTTTCAAGGAGGCTAAAAGTAGCTGAATAACAGTGCAAAATACAACTGCAATGATATTTTCTACAGTATATCGAAAGTTAAGTACTCATTCTCAAACTGTGTATCTGATGTATCCCTGACAGCAGGAGTACTGCTGTTCACCAGCTTCTACTGTAATATTCCACTTTTTTTCCCCATGGAAAACCAAGATAAATCCCTTGTATGTAAACAGACATGTCATTAGATTTGATTCTGATACTACCCCTGTGACTGAAACCAGAGGAACCAGTTTTATTCCAATTTCTTTCAGCCCAGGGGTTTGGTTATATGTAGCTCTAGCGAAAGTTCAGAAAGTTCTTCTACATCCTCTGTTAGCTGTAGCATTAGCTGCATGTAACGCTCGGTTCTAGCCCCCCCTCGATAAAAAATTGTCAGTCCAACGTCATTGTCAGTGTGAGATCACTGATCTAAGCCCATTGGCTCGTTGTGGTGAACCCTGCAGCTCAGGTTGAAATTTCTGAGACGTGTGCTGAGCAACTGACCAATAACGACAGAGCGGATCGGCAGACCAATCAGAGCAGACTTGGTCCACGTGGGGTCTAACAGTGTGGGCTCAACAGAGTGTAGCTGACGGACTCAGAGCGTAGAGGGAGCAAGGAGGAGCAGTACATGAAAACAGACACTTTTTTCGGACTTTAGCTATTGTGAACGTACAAAAGTAGGTACATAGATTAAATATACGAACCCCAAAAAGGGCAGAATATGGGCTCTTTAAAAATGGCTTTCTTTTCCACTCGTTCATTCATGCCATCGTTACAAGCGACCCTTCACCTCCCCCATCACCACCAAGCCTTCGCAGTTTCATCACCTCCTTCATTCCATCAGCCTCAGATGACATCAACAGCCATCGTCCGGTCAACCCCAGCCTTCGCAGTTTGCCTCAGATGACATCATTAACCATCTCCTCATCAACTTCACAGTTCAATCAACTTCTTCATCGCATCAACCCAGACGACATCATCCGCTAACACCTCCACCACCAGTGTCTGGACTCTAGGGGGGGATAGATCTTGTTGCCGCTCTGTCTCCCTGTAGAGTTCACGCGCCAAAGATTCTCTTATAATCATTCTATGTCACATATGTAAAATAAACCTTTCATCTTTCAATCATTTACTTGTCTCTCCTGATTGAAATATCTTTAGCTCAATGACTCATTGCTGGTGACAAGGTCAAAGATACTATCTCTAAAGTGGCTAAGCTGCAAGCCTTTGTTTTTATGAAACAGAAACCATGTTATCTGCAAATAATAGATGATTCAAGGTTTTGTAGACTCAAAGGAAAGTAGCATAAACCTGAAAGACATCAAAGTGGATCTGAACTTTCTAAAAAAACGTAGAAATTGAAAAATGTTCCTACTTTCCACACCTGTAAAGTCATGTTAAACAGAAAATAACATGAGTAAAAGTCAACACAGGAACAACAGAAGGGGGCCCAGGACAGAACCCTGAGGAACACCGGTAGTGACTGGAAATGGCTGGGATTTGAAGGTTCTTATCTTAGTTACTGTGTTGAAGTGTGGTGTAACACGTACGTTACAAACATTAAACCATTATTTATCTCACAGAAAAGAGCATTAAGAACCATTCATATGTGGACTACAGGGAGTACAGGTCGGGATTAGTGAAACTGAAAGATTTAGTTGAATTACAGACACTCTTATTGTTGTGTTTAATTTGAAGGGATCCGCACCCAGGCCTGGGCCAGAAATAGCCTAAGCTTGAATAGAATTACAACACTTTGTTTCTATAAGTGTGAGGTATCATAAATTTAGAATCAAAGTCTTCAGAGTTAGCAGAGCGTTCCTCAAATTTAGGATCCAGAGACAGCAAAGTCTGAGAACAATCATCTTTTATTCTTTCATTACAGAGTCAAAAAGCCTTGAGTTTCCTGCAGGAGAACTAACACAATTATCAGGAACATCCCTGTTTAAACCCCTTGATGAAGGCGTTGAGAAAAGCCTTCTTTCTTTCATTTGTTGCTATAGCCTGATTTTTATTGGTGGTTGAAGGTGGCCCCTCCTGGTCCTTTTATTTTTTTAATAATCCATCGGACATAATGGTGTCAGTCGTCAAACTCATGTCTTTCAAAAAAGGTCTTATCAGCCTCTCTGTCCAGGTGCACTTTTTATAATTTGTCCTTGGTACTTTCCAGTAGAGCTGTCATCATATGCATATGTGCTCATCCTTTTTAGAGCAGGGACTCTGCAGGCCGAACTGCTGTCATCTTGGCCTGTGATTTTACTCTCTTCAGTTTTAGTTAAGCATATGTGCATTGATTTTTTAGCCTTAATGGATTGTTAATTGTCTATAATGTGCAGTACACACTGGTTCACTCTGTATTTTAATGTGAAGTGTATCAGCTTGCACCGACAACTTTAAAACGGATGTGAATTTCTGTAGTTGGAATCAAACTGTGGAATTATTTCAAGAATGTTTTCAAGAGGCCTTCCTCTAAGCATGCAGCCAAGGTTTCGAATCCGACCTGTGGCTCCTTTTCAGCATGTCTTTCCCTATCTCTCTCTCTCTCTCTCTCTCTCTCTACCCGATTTCTGATTCTATCCACTGACCTGTCTTTAAAAAAGGTGAAAGGTTTAAAATTCTCAACAAAAAAAAAACCTTGAAAAGAAAAAGAATGATTTGAAGAGCTGTGTGAATATACTGTATTTCACTAAGAAAATGTACAAGAAGAGATTCATTAGACTTTATGAAATTGAAAGCTATATGTGTGTTTATGTGTGTGTGTGTGTGTGTGTGTTCTTTCCTCTTTATTTATGTGGCAGTGAAGTCAAAGACTCTGAATTGATGATTTTATTTTTGTTGCTATGAAATTGGCTGCCAAGTGATTGTCATTAAACAGGCCATCTAGATATCTCTTGTTTTTTTGGGCAAGGGGCAAGCAAAAGATGTATTCTTCTCCCTGCTCCTTTCCAAACATGGATTATGATACATTGAAAATCATTTTCTCTGAATGTTGTGTTGTTTTGCCATGTGTGGAACAAATAAAATCAAATGAAAATGCTTTCCCTTATCCACCTCTGTTTCCCCTCAGCACTCAAATATTTTAAGGGAAAAAAAAATACTCTGCTGTTGAAAGAGGAAAATATGCAAATGTATCCGTATGATATTTGTGTCATCAGGCGGCTGTGGCTCAATTGGTAGAGTCGTCGCCTTTCAACCGGAAGGTCGAGGGGTTCATGTCCGATGTGTCCTTGGGCAAGACACTTAACCCATTGCTTCATGGTCGGCGTATGAGTGTGTATGAATGGGGTAAGTTAATAAAGGACTCTTTACATAGCAGCCTCTGCCATCAGTGTGTGAATGGGTACACGTGGTGTAAACGTGCTTTAAGTAGTCAGAAGACTAGAACAGCACTACACAAACTCAAGTCCATTTACCTTTTACCATATCAACAATACATAAACATACATGTGGCACCGGAAAAGAGCAAGAAAACCCAATGATACCATGTTCAACCTGCATTGCTGTAGCTCCACAGGGCTTATGTGTTATAGGGATAGCTTGTGTCTCCTGCTATGGGGGAAACCGACCAAACATATATCACTTCCACAGTTCATCAATCATCACTTGACATGAGTATTTAGAAGCCAGTAGACTGCATCTACTAAAATATTTTACAACTCAGTATCAAGTGACCATAAAGCCTTCAGTATGTCTGAAACATTTGTCTTTTTGTTGCGTTCCGCAAATTGTCGACAGAGGGCAGCAAAGGCCTGTGAGCGTGACACTGTGTTCAAGGGACCTTAAACAAAACTCAATGAACACCAAACAAATGATTCAAATCGTGAAGAGTAAAGAGTAGCTTTAATGTATATGACACTCTTCCTTCTTGAACATTCAACTGAAAGACATTCGACACTTACCTCACATGCAAATGTAAACATAAGGTTCATGCTTCTCATATTTCTGACACTTGAATTAACAAGTTCTTCTTCAAATGTAAAGTCTTCATTTTAAAGAAATGAATTAGCAGGTGTAGACCTAAACATTTGAAGCTCTGTCATAAGGGGGGGAAAGCAGATGTAGAGGATATTTGGTTGAAAGTCACTGGCTGCAATTATTGAGAGAACAGTAATAATGTTAGGTGCCTGCAACCAGTTGCAGCGATGCAAATTTTGAAAGAAAAACTTTTTGAAAGTAAAGTGCACCGTCATTGTTCTGCTCGAAAAATGGTTCACTTTCAGTTTAGAGTGATTTTTGATTTGGGTGGAGTATCTCGGTCTTTAGTACTTTTTCTCAGCTAACAAAACGCTGAAAAGGCTAGAGAACACTCACATAAATGTAGGTTTTGAAAATAATTGATTTGTTGTCTAAAAAATGTCTAACAGGTGTTTGGACACTGACGCGTCAGCTCTGCGCCAAAAAAGGACCGTTTCATCTGCTCCACACAAAGAAGAGCAACTGTGCACCCGAACTAATCTCAGAAGCCTATATCCTACTGTGAAGTTTTTCTTAGCTCACATGAAGCA